ATGGCAGCACCCCTGTACCCCCTCACCAAGACGGGGGCTGCTTTTGACTGGGGGGAGAGCCAGGAAAAAGCCTTCATGGACATCAAGAAGGCTCTGCTCTGCTCCCCAGCTCTGGGGTTACCTGATCTGACTAAACCCTTTGACTTATTCGTGGCTGAGCAAGAGGGTTATGCGAAGGGGGTCCTAACTCAAAAACTTGGGCCCTGGAGACGACCGGTCGCCTATCTATCTAAGAGATTAGACCCCGTAGCCCGGGTACCCATGTGTAAATAAAGCCTCTTGCTGTTGCATCCAAGCTCGTGGTCTCGTTGTTCCTTGGGTTCGGGTCTCCTTCCCGTGAAAGTCCCCCGCCTGGGGTCTTTCACACTGAGGTCAGGAAAGTAAAGGGGAACTGAGAGATCTAAAAGGCTGGCCAGTAAGGCTATGCGGATGTGTTAAAAAGGGGTACCAAACTAGGGGTACCGGATTAAATCTCCAGGCCTTCGCCTGACAAAGGTCAGGAAAGTAAGGGGACCCTGAGAGATTGCCCTCAGATGGGGGGTGGATTGGATTAAATCTCCAGGCCTTTGCCTGACACCAAGGTCAGGAAAGAAAGGGGAACCTGAGAGATCACCCTCAGTTGGAGGATGGATTAAAAGTGGGTGAATTGAAAATTGGTAACGGTTAATAAAGGAGGTACTGGTATTAAGTAAAAGAAAAAGAAAAAGACAAAGGTATATGGAATGGAAATTTTTGTTTACATTTAAGTTCTATTTTGTGAGTCATCTCTATAAACTTTTGGCCAAAAGCCTGGCCTCTCCACCTTGCATCTACAGAGTTACAAGGAGTAGGTACGGCTGTACCCCATGACTATAGCTCAAATGGAGGAATGATAAAAAAACATACAGGACTTTTTAACCTTTTTAGTTCAAGGATTGGCTGGAGTTGTTCTTTTACATAGATTTCAATTAAGGGAGCTTCATTGCAACAGACTAATCATGACCTAGGGAAAAAGGATGACTAAAAGATACATGTATGTTCTGAATGTATGGTGTGGCCATACTGGTATGTATGAAATGTGATTGTGAATGCGTGAGTGTGAACTGCTTATATGATTAAAAGGATACTTAAATCCCTTCAAAAATAGTTCAGAAGCTACCTAGATTGCTTTATATACAGCCAAAAGGAACATCCAGCCAGTCTGTTAATGTTTTAACAGAAAAATTTAAGATACAAATGAGGCCTTGTCAGCTAGTGAGAGCTCTACAGGTTAGATTGGGAAAGACTGCTCACAGACTTCAAATAATTTTCAAAAGTTATTTGGACACAGTATAGTTTACAATCTTTGAGTGATTTTCAGAAGTTTTTTGGAAATACTTAATGGATATGTCCTTTTTAATGGGCATCTACAAATAATCTAAGTAGTAATCCCAATTTATCTAGATAGTTAACCAAGGAGGGTAGACAAATCCTTCTACTGTTATGGTCCAGCTTCAACAGTTCAAAAAAATTTTTTAGAAAATAAAAAAGGGGGAATAATGCCCCCAGTCCCCACATGACTCATCAAATAATACACTCCTCATTTAAAAATTGTATAATGTGAATGCCAGTGAGCTTCAGACAGATTCTGGCATGATGGAACTTGAGCAACCATTGCTCAGGTCAAATGGAGACATCCATACACTAGACAGTGGAGAAGACCCTAATTTGGGGTTGAGGGCATGTTTGTGTTTTCTTGCAGGAAAAGAATAAAGCTTTGGCAGCTGTCAGACCATTTAGTGAGATACATGGAGCAGAGAAAAACTGGACCTGAGACCATGGGAGCCTACCTAAGCCAGTTTGAGTGAGATCTCCTAAATCAGTGTTCCTGACCCTTGATGTCATCGAATCTAGAGCCCAAGAAAGAAAGAAAACAGGCAGTTCGAGATTTCCAGTTTCTCAACAGACCTGCTGCATCAACCTTCCGGACCCATGAGTTTTCATCGTGAAGCCAACAGAGAAAAAAGGACCCATTTAAAGCATTTGGACATTGGTATGGACTATGATGAGTGGCAAAAGCCTCTTTTCAGTATTTGAACAGGACATGGTCACTTGAAATATCAGACTTGATGGTTCCTGTTTCTGGAATCATGACTAGGCCAGTGTATTTTTCTGGAGAAATGCAACTTGTCCTAATGTGACAACTATTGTTCATATTTTTCATAATGCTACATGTGTAACATCAATGATTGTGCCCAATGTATCTGTGCAAGTGCACTTTCTAAATGCTTTCCTGAGCAGATCTTGAAACGATTGTAAACTCTATCAAATTGTAAATGTAAATCACATACGGGTTACCCTTGTAACAGAATGTAAATCACGTGCATGTTACCCTTGTAACAGATGAAGGCTGGTAGAATGTTATGGCCCAGATCTGGTGATGGGTATGGTGATGGAGAGGCGCTATGTCAATGGGGGTCCTGGAAATGGTGGCAGTGGCAGTAAGCATTCTGGCTTTATGCCGAGCTCAAATGTGCCTTGTTCCAGAGGCAAGAGATCCGTAACCAAGTATTGCTTAGCTTAGCCCATGGCAATCCCGATAGCCATGAAGGTTGGTTACAGATGATTTAAGGTTGGGGTCACTCCGACGACGGGCAACCTGTGGGGAAGACCCCTCCCACCTAAGACAGGGGTTCAAGGTCCCCCAAAGACGGGAAAGGGAGGGTGACTCTACTTGACCTAAGCCAGGAGTGCCTCATTTGAAAATAAAAAGGGGTGAATTGTGGGAACACCAGACCTTGAGCAGAGACCCATTTCCCCTTCTGCCTGGGAGTAGGCAGCTGTAAGACAATGTTTAGTAAAAACATGTTTACTAAAAACGATACAATAAGTTCCTGGAAAAGACCTTCCCACGGAAACCGCCCTGACCTCGACCTTGTCAAAAGACTAACCGCACCTTCAAAACCCACACACATCCACCTTTGGGGTCAGAGCAGAACCAGCCAGGGGAGAGGAGAGAGCAGAAGCTTCTCTGGTGGGAGCCTTTCTTAGGAAGTTTTCTTGAACCTTTTTGGAGCCTGTTTAAAGTTTTCTTTACATCGTTGAACGAGTCTCTGTGTTGTCAATCCCTGACACCCTCCGCACGTTCTCGGACACAGGCCACGCAGCAGACGTGACACAATTTAAAAATTTATGCAATGCATAGCATGTTAGCATCTGGGTTTCAAGCCCAGCACAGCCCTCCCTTGCCTGTGTGTCCCAGGAGAGGGACTCCCGTTGCTATAAGCCTCTGATTCTATGTCTTTGAAATGGGGACTGCATGTACCTCAGGGTGTGCTGAGGGGCCGATGAGCTGAGGCATGAGGATGTGGGGGTCTTTCCTTCTCTGCAGTCATGTTTGAAAGGGCAGGGCAGGAAGATGAGTGGACAGTGAAGGCCTTCTTCCCCCAACCCAGGGATGCATTCCCTGAGACCAGCTTTCCAGAGTGGCATCAAAACTTCAACACAGTGCTAGAGAGTTTGCCTGGCTCTGCCCCTAGCACTGCAGCCAACCAGCCAACCAGCCAATCAACAAACATCTTGGAGCACAGAGGCAAACAGCACACATGTGCGCCCCCTTCCGTTTTACTTGTCTCCACCGAGGACTGGAGGCTGTTTCTAGTTATGAGCCATTAGCATCAAGGACCCAGCGTGACCTGCCCACACATCTGCCTGAGGTGACTTGACGTTTTCCTGAAACTAAACCACCTATTCAAGTGGTGTGTTCATTTGAAGTAGATGCAGGGCCAATGACCTGGTTCAGTGACAGAGCGCTTGCATTGCATGTGCAATGAGGCCTTTGCCTCCATCTTTCGCACAGCAAAATGAAACAAAATAACAAACCAGTCCCATGTTTCAAATGATCCTCTGAGGAAATAGGGTCACCAGAAGATGTAACCCTAGTGTCAGGCTTGGGCATGAGGAAGGGGGTGATGTTGGGACTTTGTCTTGAATCACAGTAGTCAGCCTGCTAAGCTTCTAAGGGATCAGCCAGGAGCTGTAGATGCCAGGCTGTATGCTGCCCGGTGGGATAAATGGGTGCCCTGCCCCAGGCCTGTTCCATGGTCAGATGTTTGGAAAACTTCTAGCTGTGCCTTCTGGGAGCTTACAGTATCTTATGCCAGGGTTCCCATCGGGCTGATATCCCTATGGACCCTCGCCTACTAGTGCACCCATTTCTTCTCACCCCTGCAGGACCCTGCCAGGGTCTCCATCATGGACCACGCGTCACCCCGTTGTCTGCTCTGAGATAATTAGGCTCTCTAGTTCTGGCTCTGGCTTTGACTGACCTTTGCCAACAGTCCCTTGAGAAATGTTACTTCATTTCATTGATGAGGATCACGAGGCTCAGAGCTAGAGTGAACATCCCCAGTGCACTCAGAAGTAACAGAAGTGAGGCCCAGGGGCGGCTCAGCCAGTAAAAGGCAAAGACATGCCTTTGATCTCCAGAGCCCACATAGAAAGAGTGTGTCATCACATGTTTGTAATCAGTGCTGCGGAGGGGACACAGGTGGACCTCTCAAGATCACTGAGAAAAGTGAGAAACCCTGCCCCCAAACAAACAACGTGGATGGTGCCCAAGAAACATCTGCAGCTGTCCCCCGGTCTCCACATGGTGCATGTATGTGTACACCTGCTTATACACAAGGTTTTAAAAGGCTCTGTGTAGACTGAGGATTCCAAATGCAGCTTGATATCCCATTTCACAGATGAGGTGGAGAGAGGTGGTAGCAACATCTTGAGGTGACACAGCTTGCATCCCTGCATCTGAACTAGGGTTCTGACTTGGGTATGACTTTCAAGTCAGGGCGTCCCACTTCATACTTTTCCTTTGCCTTCAGGCAAACTTATTAGGATCCGTACACAGGCTGGATCCTACTCCTGTTACCTTCAGGCTGCAGGGTGCTGAGCAGCCCTGGCATGGGTGTGTGGCAGGCCGGGGCTGAGCCAGAGAGTCTTGGCCAGTGGCTGACTGTGTGCCTGTTGCTGCCACTCTGCCCCAGTGGGCTCCTTTGTGTGGAGTCACATCCTGCAGCTGCTGGAGACGGATGATCCCCTGAAACGTGACCTTCGGGACTCCCTTTCTAAGGACATCCTCAGTCAGCAGTTCCAGACGGAAACCTGGAAACACTCATCTTACTCTGATGTCACCTTCCACTCAAGTACGGCTCACCTGGGTGCCACACGGCCTGGGGACACCAGAGCTCCAATCTCTAAGAACACGGGGACTAAGGATACTATTTCCCTTGCCTGGGTGACATGGAACATGTTCAGGGCCAGCCTGGACAACTTAGTGAGAACCTGTCCTAAAAAGTAGCGGAAGCACTTACCATGCTGCACAAGGGCCTGCATTAGGTCTCCATGTGGGCAGTGGGGGAAACTGCGGGAGTCTTCAGCTGAGGTCCCTGAACCACCTCAGCCATCCTGGGGAGTGGAGGGTATGAAGGGATGCTCTGGAGTCACCCTCAGCCCTCATCGGGTGAAGGAAATGATGCTTAACCCTCCCCTGGGGCAGCAGGCACTGTGGGTATAGCCTCTCTTTCTAGTTCCCAGGATCCTCTCTTTCCTCTTAGCATCTGGCAACCTGGGAGGCAACCTGGAGAGGATCCTCCTCTTCTCTCCCAGATCTTTTCTCCCTTGTTCTGCCACGGTGAACCTCACTGTTCATGCTGCTGGCTGGGCCTTTAACTTGCTGGAGGTAAGAGTGCTGGGCTTGTAGTCTCCTTAGCGCCTGTCCTGGAGGCAGGGCAAGGAGTGATCCCATATGCCCATTCATCTGTCCACCTGTCCCTTGATCCTGTTGTTCAACACTCATTCTATCATTTTTTGACCCTTCTAACCTTTCCACAGATATTGCAATACATCTGTCCACACATGTTATCCAAGTGTCCTTCCATCCAGCTCACCCCTCTCATTATCCACCCTCTTATCCATCCATCCATCCATCCATCCATCCATCCATCCATCCATCCATCCATCCATCCATCCCACTCACTCATCTATCCTTCCATTCATATCTCTGATCCATCCATCTATCCTTCTAATCCAGTTACTCATCCATTCCCTTCCCCACATATCTATCCATCTATCACTCACATTCACTCGTCCATCAATTTGTATTTCTACCTTCCATCTGTCTCCACCCATTCATCCATCCACATTCTATCCACCTACCCCCCATCTACATTTATCCATCTGTCTACCTACCATCCATTGAGAAATATTCCTCTTCTAGCTGACACTGTACCAAGCAATGTGCTTGGCTCTGGATACATGGTGATAAACAATTAAGGTGTGGTCCCTGCACTCCTGGTACTTTCCATTCTGAGAGACTATTATGGGAATTTTCTCCCTGGACTGGGGAGTACTAAGAAACTCCTACCTCCTCCATCTAAAGTCCAAATTACAAACAAAAGTTTGAATTCACTAGAGTTTGCTCCGAGGAACCAATGAATTCATTAATCTTACTTACAGAGCAGCTATGCTGGAAGTTGACGGCTCTTCCGAGACAACATAGATAGAACCCCTGTCCCTAGCCTTCTTAGTCTGTATACTCTAGTCCTTCTCTAAGGCCAAGAAGCCACATGCAGTTGGGACAGAATTGCATATAACTGACTGGGAGGAGCGATGGCTCTCCTCACCCCTTTCCACGAGGGATCAACCATCAACGAGTCCAGTAGTGACCATTTGCGAGCAGACAAAGCTGATCTCGTGAATATGGCAGGCAGTGTTGTTCTGAACAGGGTCTTACAACAGAGGGAAATGTCTGAAAGTAAACTGTTTATTTTGGGGCATGAGGTTTGAACTGAGACTGGAAGGATGGATATTGTATTAAATTTCTTGTTGCTGTGACAAGATCCATGGCAAAATCAGCTGAAGGAAAGAAGAGTTTGCTTTGGCTCAATTCAATAGTGCAGTGTATTATGTGGGAAGTCATGGTGGAGCAGGAGTGTGAGGTGGCTGGCCACATTGCGTCCACAGTTGGGAAGCGTATAATGTATGTGTGTTATATGTGCACACACACATAAATGTACACATATGCTGATGCACAGCTTGCTTTCTCTCTTTTATTTTAAAATATTGATTTATTGTCAGAGGTGCGGCCTTGGGCACCACGATGTGCATGAGGAGGGAGGAATTCAAATGTCTCCTTCCATCATGTAGGTTTGAGGTTAGAACTCACATCGTCAGCACTGGCTGCAAGCCCCTTATCTGCTGGACCATATCACTGGCTGACTTTCTCCTTTTTTATTCAGGCCAGACTCCAGTCCATAGAATGGAGCGCGTTCCGAGTGGGTCTTTCTTTCTCACTCTAGCTCTTTGCAGACACCTTATGGATGGACCCAGGGTGTGTTTCCATGGATGGTGGCTCTAAGTTCAGTCAGGTGGACCTCTGCAGAGCTGAGCAGGCTGCTAGTGAATGCAAAGGTCCCAGAAGAGGAAGAGAAGTGTTCACAAGGAACAGAGCTGAGGGAGGAGGGGGAGCAGAGAGGAACAGAGTGGAGAGGAGGGGGGAGCAGAGAGGAACAGAGTGGAGGGAGGGGTGAGTCAACAGGAAGATGGCAGATGGGAGGATGGTCAGAGGAAGGATTCATCCAGGAATCTTCCGGGCTAGTAGATGCCTCATGGGTAATTCCTGAGTCCCCATGCCCCTCAAGGGGATTCCACAACAGGGTCTGGGCGTTACCTTGCTGCTGTGTACGGGAAACCCAGGTGGGGGTGTGACACGTGTGGCCTGGGATGGGGATGTGAGAAGGGGGCTGCCCAGAAGAGGTGACATTTGAAGCTGCCAGAGTCCATAGGACATTTTGTCTGAAATTCCAAAGCTGTTCCCTGTTTCCTGAGCCCGCGTGGCCCCCAGGGACCCCGAGTGCTCCAGGCTAGCTTCCCAGGGGCCCCGAGTGCTCCAGGCTAGCCTCCCAGGGACCCCGAGTTCTCCAGGCTAGCCTCCCAGAGCCCTGTTTCCTGTTTCCTGAGCCCAGGTGGCCCTCAGGGACTCCGAGTTCTCCAGGCTAGCCTCCCAGGGCCCTGTTTCCTGTTTCCTGAGCCCGGGTGGCCCCCAGGGACCGGAGTGCTCCAGGCTAGCCTCCCAGGGCCTTGTTCCCAGTCCCATAGCCCTTGACTACCTGTGTGACTGGCTTCCTCATTAGTGAGCCTCTGGTTTCTCTCTCCAGCTGGGACTCCAGCTGGAAAGTGCAGAGGACATCATTGGCAGTGTGCTGGGCCGCAAATCCTTCTGGAAGCAGGAAGAGAAGAGAGAGACTGAGCCAGGGAACCCTTCAGGGCCAGAGCCAGGCCTGGATGGCTCTGGCTGTGCGGGGGAAAGATCCAGAAGGATGAAGGACCTCCAGGAGAAGGTAATAAATCAGATGTCCCCAACCCAGGCTCCCGGAAAGACTGTAGCTGCCCATACATCCCTCGTGGACAGCTGCTGACTAGGCCTGCCTGGTGTTGAAAAGGTGTTTGTCTAAGTGTAACCTCTACATGGAAAAGTCCCAAAGCCCCATCAGGATATGTGTCTACTTCTGTGTACCAGTGAGGCCAATACCCCAGGGAACCCTCTGCACTCTCTTCTACTCAGCACCCATCCCTAACCAAGGTAACCCCGGACCTAGCTTCTGACAGTGCCAATGACTCTTGCTTTATTTTTTTAACTTTTTTATTATATATTTAAATTAGAAACAAGCTTGCTTCCCATGTCAGTCCCAGTTCCCTCTCCCTCCCCTCCATGCCCACTCCCCCCCCCACTAAGCCCCCAGCCCCCTGCCCAATCCCCACTCTATTCCCCAGGGAGGGTGAGGCCCTCCATGGGGATCTCTACAGTCTGTTATTTCATTCTGGGGAGGGCCCAGGCCCTCCCCCAAGTGTCCAGATTGAGAGAGCATCCTTCATTGTGGAATGGGCACCCAAAGTCCATTTGTGTGTCAGGGATAAATACTGATCAACTACCCAAAGCCCCATAGATTGCCTAGGCCTCCTCACTGACACCCACATTCAGGGGTCTGGATCAGTCCCATGCTGGCCTCTCAGCCATCAATCTGGGGTCCAAGATCTCCCCCTTTTTCAGGTCAGCTGTTTCTCTGGGATTCACCAGCCCAGTCTTGATTCCTTTGCTCATCACTCCTCCCTCTCTGTCACTGGGTTCCAGGAGTTCAGTTCAGTGTTTAGCTGTGGGTGTCTGCCTCTGCTTCCGTCTGTCACTGGATGGAGGTTCTAGGATGCTATATAAGATAGTCGTCAAAAATCATTATCAGGGAGAGGCATTTAAAGTAGTCTCTCTGCTACTGCTTAGTTTGCCAGTTGGTATCATCCTTGTAGATCTCTGGAGATCTCACTAGTGCCAGATCTCCCCTCAAACCTAGGATGACTCCTTCTATTATGGTATCTCTCATCCTGCTGACTCCTGCTTTTTAAAATTAGCTTTGTAAAGCTGGTGCAGAGACATCCACCTACAACCCCAGTGCTGGGGTAGTGAGACAGGCCCCTGATGGTTAGCTAGCCTGGCATGACCAGGGTGCTCCAGCTTCACTGAGAGACTCTGCCTCAAAGAAAAAAGTGGATAGCGCTCGTGTGTGCGCGCGCTCAGACACTCTATGATCTGAGAATACTGACGTCACTCTCACCGAAGAGCTGATGACCCTATCATGCTCAGAGGAGTCATTTTGATTTGTTTCCTTTGAGATACTTTTACCCTGTAGCTCATGCTGGCCTCCAACTTGCCATCCTCCTGCCTCAGCCTCTTTGCTGATGCGATCACAGTTGAGGACCACCATGCCCATCTGACAAACTTCTTCATCTCCTATCATACTCCTTCTTCCCGTCCTGCTCCACCCTGGGGAGCTACTGAGAAGCTGCAGACTGCTCCACACTTTCTCAGACGTTACATAAATTGCAACATGTATTTAAAGCTTGCATTCACTCTTGCTCTGTTTCATTTACCCACTGCTGTGAGCTGCCCCGCGTCCCTGTGCAAGGCTGGGGGGTAGAACCTGGAGCCTTTCCCATGCTAGGTAACACTACTGCTGAGCTATCCCAGCCTTTTTTCTTTTTCTTTTTTCTTTTTATTTCTCTCTTTTTTTAGGCAGGGTCTCACTATGTAGCTTAGGTGGGCGTCAAACCCTCCATATGGGTTGGGGTGGCCTGGAACTTACTCTTCAGCTCATGCATACCTTCAAACACGTGATTCTCCTGCCTCATCCTTCTCGTGCTGGGATCTCAGGCCTACTCCATCTGCCAGGCTAGTATCTTATTTTAATCTGTTTCCCTAATGGCTAATTGTGATGAACCTATTTATTATTTTATTTTATGTATTTTTTTTTGTAACAGGGTCTTACTATTAGATCAGTTGGCTTCAAATTCAGAGATTTGCCTGTCTCTGCCTTCCATGTGCTGGGATGGAAGGTGTATACCATGCCCAGGCTTATGGATTTTTATTGCAAATGTGTGCACCTGTGTGTGCTCATGTGTGCACACACCCACATGGACATGGCACAGAATGTGTGTGGAGGTCAGAGGACAGCTTGCAGCTGTTGGTTCTCTCCTTCCATCATGTGGATGAAGGTTAGCAGGCTTGGCTGCAAGTACCTGAGCCATCTTGCCAGCCTTCTGGGCAGTTCTTCACGGGCTTATCTGCTATCCAGGTGTCTTCTTTGGTGAAATGCATATTCAAATATTAGGTTCATTTTATTTTGGGGGGTAATTTTCTTTTGGTTGTTTGAGACAGGGTTTGTAGCCCTGGTTGTCCTGGAACTCGCTCTGTAGACCAGGCTGATCTTGAATTCAGAGATCCACCTGCCTCTGCCTCCCAAGTGCTGGCATGTGCCAACACTGGCTGGGTTATTTTCTTACATGGGTTTTAGAAATTCTGTATTTTAGAAGTAAGTCATATTGTCAGATATGTGACTTGGAAATGCTATCTCATAGTTTATGGTGTGTCTCTTTATTCTCTTCTAGTGAGAATGGTTTTGTTGTTGAGTTTGGGGTTTTCTTCGCTTTTCTGTGATATGTGTGTCTGTGCATGCATGTGTGTGCATGTGTATATGTATGTGTGTACATGTATGTGCTTGCATGTGTGTGCATGCATGTGTGTATGTGTACATTATGTGTGTTATTGTGGATGTGAATATTTTTGTGTGTACCTGTGTTGATCTTGAGTATCTTCTTCTATCATGTCTATACCTTTTAAATTTTTTTATTTTATATTTGAGTGTTTCCACCGTGTGTATGCAGTAGCCATAAAGATCAGAATAGAGCATTAAATCCCCTGGAACTGTTGGTCTCCATGTGGGGACCGAAAACTGAACTTGGATCTTCTGCAAGAGCAGCCAGTGCTCTTAGTTGCTGAGGCATCTCTCCAGTCCCTCTACCTTAGTTTTTGGGACACAGTTTCTCACTGCTCCTGGAGCTCACCCCCATTCCACTAGAGTGGCTGGCCCCAGGTGCTCTCCTGACTGTACCTCCCCAGCACTGGGATTAAGGACATACTGTTATTATGCTTGCCTTATGTTTTTCTTGAGTACTGGGAACCCAGACTCAGTTCTTCGTGCTTGTGACAAGTGCTCTATTGACTGAGCCATCTCTCTGTCCCTGTGGTATTTTTTAAAAAATGTTTTATTTTATTTGAGTTTAAAAAAATTTCACTATGTAGCCCAGGTTGGCCTCACACTGACAACCTCCTGCCCCACCTCCCCAGTGCATGCTGGATCCCCAGCACCACATGAAACCAGACGTGGTGGCAATCACAGCACGCAGTAGATGGAGGCAGGAGGCTCGGGAGTTCAGAGTCGTTCTCAGCTATCCAGCAAGTTTGAGGACAGCCTGGGTTACATGAGATCCTATCAAAAGATAAAAATGAAAAGTCGTGCTATGAGTGGTCTTGGGTGTGCTTTTGTGGTATGTGCCTTGTTGTTGGAAGCCTGTCTTCAGCTGAGTTGATGAAGTCCCATTGCTGGTTATTGTCTTAGCAGAGACTCCGGGCACAGGTTTTCATGTGCATTGTGGAGGGTGGGGACCATGATAGGCACTCCCTCTGCCCCCAGCATTTGCTCTTGTAAAATGCCATTCTGTGTACATCTGAGAGCCAGCAACGTGGGTGGCTTGGGTGTGTACTGACATGTTTATACATAGACCAGATGTTAGCCCAAAGCCCAGGTGGGCTAGTTATAAACACTTTTTTTTTTTCTAGCTGGGCATGGTGGCATGTGCCTGTAACCCTAGCACTTAGAATGCAGAGGGATTTTTAGGCAAGCCTCAGCCTCACTGTGGGTTGGGACTCTGTTTAACAAAAACAAAACAAACATTTTTGTCTTAGAACGCAGTCTCCATAGTCTGTTATCTTCTCGTGTTTCATACTCACATCCCAGGAAGTATTTGGCTAAGACAAAGAGAATAACGACAGATACTCCATCTCCATATTGGCAAGACAACAGGAGGGCGGGGTCTGTGGTGCACAGAACAGCCATGTCATACACTGGCAGCTTCCCTTGGCTCTGGTCACCCCTTACTGAGGGATGGGTAGACACACTAATATTTCTGTCTTCAAAAGAAGCCATGGGTTTGGATTTTATATAAGATCTCCTAACTTTCAAATGTTATAAAGTCCATGTCATAGCATGAAAAAACGATGAGGGAGTAGGAGACCATCATGGACCAGAGTGCAGCTCAGGTGGCTGGACGGGATCCCAGACAGGGATGCTGAAGGGGGAACCAAGGAAAAGCAGCTGCGGTTCACAGCTGGCTCGTCACAGCTTCTTGTTCACACCTGCCCGGGGAAGACATGTCTGCACTGGCCGTGGGCACCACCATGCATGTCAAAGAACATGTGCGGTAGAGTGTGTTTGGTGAGCTGGGCCCCGCACACCCCTGACATTTCTAGCAGCCCACCCTACCTCCTGCTCCAGAAGCCTTTGCTGTGCTCACCCTAAGTTTCTCTGCCTTCATTCTGGGTTCTTCTCAGGTAGCCCAGTGGTCTAGGGCAAGACGGACACCAAGCTGCCATCTGAATGTCAAAGTGTTTGGGCATGAGCTGAGTTTCCTGGACTGTGGGCCTTTGGGGGGCCTCAGGAGATGCTGGTCTCTCCCCCTGGCTGAACTCGCCAGAAAACTTCTCAAGGTACTGTCCTCTCCCCACTGTCGCTGTCCAATCCCTGCCTGTGACCCCTCTCCCGTGACTCCTGCATTCTGTCCCTACTAGCTGCTATCCCTTTCCTGTCACTTTCCCCTTTCTCCATCTTCTGTCCCCAGCCCTGTGCTCTGCCTGCCTCATGCTCTGCCTCCAGTCCTCAGCTGTAGCTGGTTGGTTTTTTTTACTTTTTGGCTCTTTGGGAGATCACCACCCAGCTCCAAAATAAATCACATGGAGACTTATTCTTTCTTATGAATGCCCAGCTTTAGCCTGGCTTGTTTCTAGCCAGCTTTTCTTAATTATCCTGTCTACCCTTTGCCTCTGGGCTTTTATCTTTCTCTATTTCTGTATATCCTTTCTTTCCTTCTTAGTCCATGTCTGGCTTTGTGGCTGGCCCCTGAAGTACTCCTCTTTCTCTCGATCCTAGAGCTTTCCTTCCCCCCAGATTTCTCCTCCTATTATTTTTTCTGCCTGCCAACCCCACCTAGACTTTCTCCTATCTAGCTATTGGCTGTTCCACTCTTTATTAAACCAATCAGGTGTTTTAGACAGGCAAAGTAACAGAGCTTCACAGAGTTAGACAAATGTAACATAAAAGAATACAACACATCTTTGCGTCATTAAAACAAATGTTCCACAGCATAAGCAAATGTAACACATCTTTAACTAATATTCTACAACACTGCACCCTGTCTCATGTCTTTCTCCTGTCCCTATCCCTGTCCCTCTGCCTCTGATTACAGTTCTCTGGCCTGGTTCCTACTCCTGCCCCTCCCCTCCATCCCCTCCATCTGTCCCCTACATCTGCCTCCTGGCCCTTTGACCCTGGGACGTGAAATTTAGGGCTGTACCTGAGCACACGGCCTCCCTCACACCACTTCCCACTTTGGGCCTGTTGTGGGTCTTGCCGTAGTCTTGACTCCTGCTTCAGACATGGAGATATTTATCTCTTTTTATCTTTTCAAGTGCTGGGGGTAGAGTGCAAGGCCTCATGCATGCTAGGCAAGCACTCTTTACTGAGCCATACCCAAGTCTTCAAACAGAGATGTTAAATAAAAACATCATGGTTCTTTCAGAGGGGCCCCAGGTCTGCTTAGGACACACTGAATGATGTGTTACTGGTTGGCCTGATACCTGCTGTCCCCCCTTGTCTAGCTCACCTTTGATCAGTAAGCAGACCACTGTGCTCTCTGAATGGCTCTACTCCTGCTAGCTATGTGGCCTTGGGTAAACCATTCATGTCCCTAGCCTCATTTTCCCCATCTGTGTCTCTGAAATGAAATGCATTTGGAGGACAAGTGGGCAAACTGTGCTTCATGCTAAGGTCACCTGTCCCTCACCATGGCTGTGGACTGTTGCTATGGTTCTCTGGCCACAGGGGCAGGAGGTACAGGTGACCTGGAGGCTGAGTCTGGCTGTGGGAGAACTCTTCTTTCCTACAGTGTCTGGCATTCCAGCCAGACTTACTCTACATGCCTTGGCTACAGTCAGCATCCATGCCCAAGGAGTGGCTGACTTCCAGCAACTCTCAGATTTCTCCCTGAGGGGTCACATCAAGCCCAGGTAACAGACTTCTCCAAGTTGGGGTGAGTAGGGGCTTGAGGATGTGAGGGTACTGGGCATCATACAGGCTGTGGGGAGGTACCCATTCTGTAGCCTGCCTGTCAACCTGTTTTTGGCTAAACCAAGCAACTGTGAGGGTGTCTTGGGCTATGAGGTTCTTTTACATCTAAGAAGACAGGCCCAGAGAGGTGAAGCTGTATGCTCAGGGCTGCACAGCAGAGTCAGGTCACAGGGTCTTTCATCAGAATCACCACATGCTGCCTCCCAAGGAGGAGCCAAACCCAAGCTCACCAACCCCAGTGGCCATGGAGCAAGGAGGATGGGCCCTCTTTTAGCTCCACTCTTGGTAAGGAAAGGGACTCAAGGGAGGCTGCCACAGGACCAGCTGTGTGGCTTAGAAGGGGCAGCACCGAATGTGTGTAAGTCATGGTCTCACTTCTGGGCCAGAAGCACAGGCCTCACATCCCAGTCTACCATTTGTATGCCGTGGGTGGAGGGATGGGAGTGGGGCTGAAGTAGGCCTTAGAAGTGGGGCTCAAGAAGCCTGGCTGTGTCCTGACCCCCAGCCGTGGTGGGGGGAGGTGGTTCTACCCTTCAGAGGCTCAGTGTCTCCATCTGTACAATGGGCTGGTGACAGTAAGGGCTGGATGGGGGCTAGCAGGTGGGCCAGATGGTGCGGGCATCAGACCTTGTTCTTTCTCTCTTAGTGCCCTCCTTCAGGTCTTGGCTCAGATGGGCACTGCAGGGGCCCTGGGGCAGGCTGGGCTGAGATGGTTGACCCGCGTCCGTGGCGCCGCCAGCTTAGATGGTGGGATCCAAGCTAGGAAGGGTCAGGACCTCAAAGTGCATCTGAATGCCCCAGAGGACTCTGTGGAGCTACTCAGCTTCAGGTGGGGCCTTCACCACCAGGAGAACTGGGAGTGGGCAGAGCTTGCAAAGGGGGTGGGGGGTGAGAGGGTGGGGGGGTAAACTGCTTATGGGAAGAGATGGGGTGGGTGGGGCTTGCATGGGGGAGTGGCTGGGTGGGCAGGTTGCAGGGAGTAGCCTGCAGGTGCACAAAGACAATTTGTCAGACTCATCCTCTTCCCCTAGCTCCAGGCTGTATCTTGTCACTGGGGACAGTGTGAAGAACTTAACTGAAGGTCACAGCTTCTCTGAGTCCCAGTCCTGTACCCACGAGGAAGGTAGGCAACTGGTTCTCAGCCCGAGATGGGCGTCCTGGGTGTAGAGGGAATGACCTCCAAGTTACTCTCTGAAGGTATTGGTGTCACTGATATTTAGTCTCCCAGCAACCTGACTTCTAGTATTGCACCCTGGGGAAACCCAGTCACTTTGAAATGCTCACGCAAATGGTGTCTGCTAAATTTTTTTGTTTGTTTGAGACAAGGTCTTATGTAGCCCAGGCTGGCCTCAAACTTATGAGCAGCAGAACACATGATCCTCCTACCTCCAAAAACTGCTTAAGGGAAAAGGGTTTATTCCAGCTCACATCTTCAGGGGACCATTTCACATGGTGGGGAAGGCGTGGCCACAGGAGCAGAAGCCGACTGTCTGTGTTGCACGTGTAGTCAGGACACGGGCAGGGGTGAATGCTGCTGTGTGGTTCTCCATCTCCTTTTGATTCAGTCCTAGACCCACATTGATGTGGGCCTTCCCTCCCTCATTGACCTAACCTGGAAAAGCCCTGCCCAGAGGCTAACCTAATCTAAATAATACCTTGTAGACCAGATTTGCCTCCTACAGGACTCTAGATCCTGTCAAGGTGACAGCAATGACTGTTATACAACTGAGCTACATCCCCAGTCATAGTTATTGCTTTTTGAGACAGCCTGGTTCCCAGTTCTATGTAGCCAAGGATGACCTTGAATTCCTGATCCTGATTTTGCTTTTGAGTAATGTGAAGGAGGAGACAGGGTTAGTGACTAGAGACAGTGTGTTTCTAAGGTACTTTCCTTTTTTTCTTCTTCTTCTTATCCTTTAAATTTCTTCTGTAGGATTTTTCCTTTCTTTAAAAATTGTTATTTATTTATTTATATGTATGTATGTAGGGGGCACAATTTGGGGGTCTCTTCTCTTCTCCCATGTATGTTCTGGGGAGAGAACTCTGGTTGGCAGGCTTGGCAGCAAATGTCTTTACCAGCCCTCTCTCCTCCTCTTCCCTCTCCTCCCCCTCCTTCCCTTCCTCCTCTCCCTCCTCCTCTTCCTCCTCCTCCTCCCCATCCTCCACTGTCTTCTTTTTCAAGTTAATTATTTAAAGTGACTTTACTGCTTGACATATTTATGGCACTAGTCCAAAGGCTTAGTTTTCCAGGGGCAGAGAGGATGCACTTGGTCTCCAGTAACAGTAATTGGTGCCTCAGATGCCAGCATCAGATGGGACTTGGCTCCTCCTTCCTCTTAAGGTGCTTGGGAGGAACAGCTGATTTTTTTTAAGTTTTTCAAGACAGGATTTCTCTGTGTATCCATGTTGTAGATCAGGCTGGCCTCGAACTCACAGAGATCTGCCTGCCTCTGCCTCCTGAGTGCTGAGACTAAAGGACTAAAGGTGTGTTCCACTCTGTCCTGCTGTAGCTGTCTTATGTGACAGAGTTCTGCAAAGGGTCAGAGTGAGTCCTTCACACAACATTGTTGTGTAAAGCCACGTAAGTCCCTCAGGATCCACCAATCTGAGGAGAAGGGGGTCCATCCTTTCTTGGTCAGTTTGTTAATCTCTGCTTCAGCCAAGTGGGGATGTTACCAGGCCCACGGGCCAAGCAGACTGACTGGGCTAGACCGTTCCCAGGAGCATGCATGGCACATGGTGGAGATAGCCTGGCAGCACATTGAAACCTCCAGGACAAAGCCTCTCTTTAGATCCTTAGAAGAAGGGAAATAAAAAGACTCTTCTTTACAATGTCAGTGACACCAGAATTCCTCTGGCAAGCCTGGTTTATTGGCCCTCAAGAACAGGAACATGTTCTGTGGTGTTTAATAAGAATTAACCCCCATAGGATCCGAAGGATTAGGGGGTGTGGCCTTGTTGGAGGTGGTGTGTCACCAGGGGCTAGCTTTGTGGTTTCAAAAGCTCCCACCATTCCCAGTTAATGCTCATTCCCTCCCTCCCTCCCTCCCTCCCTCCCTCCCTGACTCTAGCTTGTGTATCAGGATGTAAGCTTTAGCTACTGCTCTAGCATTATGTCTACCTACTTGCTGCCATGATTACTGTGAACACTCTGGAACTGTGAGCCCCCAAATTAAATACTCTTTATAAGTTGCCTAGGTTATGGTGTCTCTTCATAACAATAGAAAAGTAACTAAGATTCACTCAAGCCATGAAATCTCCAGAAGTGGTCCCAGGTCCACAGTGAGCCCCTACTCTACCTAGCTTTAATCCATCCTCGAATGTTGCTGTCTTGCACAAAGCTATAACAGTTAAAGGTGTAGATGAAGTAATCATCACCGACATTCTCACCAAGAGAACCAGAGTTCAGCAATGCAGGGGAAGACAGTACACCTCTGGGGACACACGAGGAGGAAGCTCAGAGGGAGCCCTCACGGGTCACCTGGAGGAAGAGGCTCTCAGAGCTAAAACTCAACAGCCCAGCTTGATGCAAACGACCTGTGAGCCATGAAGGGACTTGGAACCAGAGAAATTAAGAGACTAGAAAGAAGATCTAAAAAGAGATCCAGCCAAGACAACACCTCGGATACATCTAGACTTGCCAATGGCATTGCTTTCTCTTGCCCCAGGGTGACTGTTGGGAGGATTTGAGTGGAAATCAAGATTTGGCTTATATGGATGCTGGCTTTGGGTGCCACCAGAGAAAGGAGGTGGTCAATTTGCACTTACTAATGCAAGCCTGGTCTAGACGCTATGCCCATCTTGTTGGAGTTTTTCAGAATTATGCCAATTCAGTGAGTAGCATGAACAGAGTTCTGGGTCGGGAATGGAAGGGCGACATTGAGAAGTGCTTCAGAGTCATTGTGAAGTATGCCGCTAGCATCCTAACTTTCTTTGCCAAGGAGCCTCATCAAGCCATGAAGGGAGCTGGAATTTGCCATTGATCAAAATTACGTCTCCCATTCTGAAAACAACACAAATTATATCAAAGCATTTTACCTGAAGATGTGTGGAATCTTTCTTTGCCAAGCCATTCTAGATAAAACAAGAGCAGATTGATCCGATTCTGGTGACTAATCGGAAGCTAGGCATCCCCCTGAACTCTGAGGCATCCCAGTTGGAGTGTTCATCCCATCACATAGGCTTCAGCAGGAGAGTTCCTTCAGCATATTACTGTCAAGTTACCTGTTTTCTAAAAAACACATCCTATAAGTCATTTTTACATTACATCTCTGCACAATAGAAATGAAATTGTTTGTTAGCTATGTTTATCCCAAACTATAAACCCCATTTTGGTGCATTCCAGACCTTGGGTACCTTTACTCATATGTCCATACACACAGAAACAAATACACACACACACACACACACACACAGAAACAAATCATTAAAAGTAATACAAGTCTGTACCAGTAGTTCTCAGTGTAGTTGGTTTTTTGTTTTGTTTTGTTTTGTTTTGTTTTGTTTTTTTGCCTATACACCACACCTGGATTGAGGTGGGTAGCAATTAAGGGAATGACTAGTAAAATTGCAGGTGTCTGTAACTGGCATTGATGGTAGTTTCTGGCATCTGATTGGTAAGGGCCAGGAATGATATAGAACACTGCACAATATATATGATACTCTCAGATTATTACTGGGCCTCAGATCAACAGCGTGCTTAGGCTGAGGAGCTCTGGCCTATACAGTCCTGCCTTTTAGAAGTAATGTCTATAAGGCATTGGTTCTCAGAAGGAAATGCTAACATGGGTGGCTGGCCCCAGGGCCTGAGTTCTGCTAACCACAACTGCCACTCAATTGTCTTTGCAGTGTCCCAAGTCTGGGGTTGGCAGCTGTGTACTAATGTGGCCTGGCCAGGGCCTGGCCAGCCCTTCTTGCTCTCAGCACCCATGTTCATGGATTTGACTCAGAGGAAGCAAGACCCAGGACTGAAGCTATACCTGCTGGAAGCTGCCTACACCTTCCATTTCCAGGTGGGCAGGGTGGAACAGCTCCCTCCTCCATGGTTGGCTGTGTATCTCCCCATTCACATCAGCACCAAGGACTTGGGCACAAAGACACAGGTTTTGACTCTGAGGCCTTGAGCTGTCTCCTCGCTGCTTCAGGGCCTCTGCATGTGTTGACTCTGTCTAGCACCTGTTTTAACTCTGCATGTGTTGACTCTGTCTAACACCATGCTTTAACTCTGCCCAGATCTTTGCACTGACTCTTTCCTGTGCCCAAGACTCTCTTTCTTCCAATGCCAGGTAGCCTCATATTCCGTATTCTCTCTTCACAGGCCATCAGAGGCAGCCTGTCCCTTACCACCCGACACAAAATGCATATCCCTTTCAGGACCACTCATGTACTCACATGACAACATTTTCTGGCTGTTTTCCTATGTGATTCTGTGTCTGGTTGTTGCGTGCCCCCAACTCCAGGGAGTCAGCCCCCAGGGGCAGGAGCTTTGCATACCTAGGGCTCCCCATGCTTCAGGCTAGCTTCACAAGAAGTGCTAAATGAGCGAACAGGGATGTGGTATTTTATTTGACTCTTTTGCAGTCTAGGGGAGGAGCTGGGGGCTTGTGCATTGTGCAATGCCTGTAGTGTCCCACAGAGCCTCACTCCAATCTTGGCTCTGGGTTCTAGAAGCAGCTTGAGCTCAAAGATGCTTTTCTCAGCTTCACTTGCAGAGGCTTGGGGTAAAGGAAGTTTGTTAAACAAAGGCCCTTGAGCCAGAGGGGAAGTAAAAAGGCTAGGAAAGATAGAGGCTGACCCTGGCTTCACCAACCCTCACCCACAGAGATTCTGGAGCAGGGTTGGTAACAGCAAGCACAAGATGGTAGAGTTTTGTCTCCAGAGCATAGGACTGTGTCCTGAGTGTTGCAGATGTCCTCTATGCATAGCAAAGCATGAGAAAGAGGAGGGACTTGCACAGGGCTAGCCTGGGATTAGGCAGCATTGCTAGGATGCTGTAGTTGTGTACTGCAGAAGCCCCACTCTGGCCATTTACCCTGTCAATCAAGACCCGGAGAGACTTGAGTGTAGCTCAGTGGAAAAGCATTTGCCTAGAATGCAACAAAGCCTTGGGCTCCAACACTGAGAGACAATCAAAAGTCCTGTGCTAGACTGTCCTGAAAACCACCTTTCCCGTGCTGCTCTTCAGAGCCTGGGAGATGCTTGCTGGGCTTGCTCCTGCACGGATAGGAGGCACTGTTTTAGAAGAGGAACCCCATTGTGTTTGCAGAAGGACAGCTGGCTCCCTGAAGAAGCCACAGCCCACCTTTTCATGGGTACACCCCAGTCAGAAGTGGCCAGGGACGTTGGGCTGGAAATCAGCTACAGTGTGCCCCAGAGGAAGTGCTGGCTCAAGCTGCTGCACCCCAAAAAGAAAATTCAGCTGGATGGTGAGAACAGCACTATCCCTGGTCACCAGACCCCTTGGCAGCTGCAGTGTGAGCAGTGTGCCTACCATACATTTATCCGTGGGTTCACTTGATGGCTAAGGGGATAGAAAATGGGCTAAAGGTGGAGCCTCCGCCTCTGAACTTGGCCTTGTCCCCAGGTAAAATGGAGGTTCTCAAGAGTGCACACATGGGCCATCTGGAGCTGGTACTTGACGACAGGGATGTCTATTACATCAAGGTTTGCTCTGTATTCCTGGCACACCTGCATTAGCCCTGCTCCCACCCCAGGTCTCCCTGCCCCAGCCAGTGTCCTGGCCCAACAAAGCCTCCCTCTCAGCACTGATATGAAAAATGCATGGAATCATTAATAGAAAGTTCGGGGACTGGGGACAGCTCAACAATTCAGAGTGCTTGCTGCTCTTGCAGAGGACTAGCACCCGACACCCAGTGACTCACAACTGCCCGGAACTCCAGTTTCAGGAGATCTGACACCCTCTTTTGGCTTCTATGGGAACCAGCATGCATGTGCACATGCACACAATAGACACATGCACACAATAGACACATGCATACAATAGACACATGCACACAATAGATACATGCACACAATAGACACATGCACACAATAGACACATGCACACAATAGATACATGCACATAATAGATACATGCACACAATAGACACATGCACACAATAGACACATGCACACAATAGATACATGCACACAACAGATACATGCATACAATAGACACATGCACACGATAGATACATGCACACAATAGACACATGCACACAATAGACACATGCACACAACAGATACATGCACACAATAGATACATGCACACAATAGACACGTGCACACAGACACATGCACACAATAGACACATGCACACAATAGACACATGCATACAATAGACACATGCACACAATAGACACATGCACACAATAGACACATGCACACAATAGACACATGCACACAATAGATACATGCACACAATAGACACATGCACACAATAGATACATGCACATAAACAGATAATAAATCTTTAAAAGAACCATAATAGAAGCTTTCACAAGTTCACAGCAGATATTAGAACAAGTTAAACAGGCCACCCCAAGTTTCTTGATGTCAGATTGAAGTTCTCAGAACTGGGTGATTTAACCCAGTGTACCCCTTTAGCTCTGAAGGCTAGTGGGGAACATGAAGCGGGAGTGCAGCTGCTCTGGAAGGCTCTGAGAAGCCTGTGTGCCCAGACCTGTTGGGTTGTAACTGCAGAATTCCCAGAGATGGCTTTCTCCCTTTTGGTTAAACTGTCATCCCTCTACGGGTCATTTCAAAATGCCCCTTTTTAGGGGACACCTGCCATACTGGATTCAGGCTAATAACCTCTTTTAATGCCACCAGATACAAAGATCCTGTTTCCAGATGAGGTGCCCCTGACCTCTGACCCGCACCCTCACCATCACTTCTGATCCTAACCACCACCTGACTCTACCTCTTGAGTGCCCAGTGGGGAGAGACTTACCAGGAAAGTTCGTCTTCCTTCAAGCCCCGGTGCCTAGGCTAAGACTCCTCAGTCTCAGTCCAGGAGCCTTGAGTCCTTGGTGCCAGCATGGAAAAGCCCCGAGGCCTCTCAGAGTGTCTTCCGCAGCTCTCACACCTCTGACCACTGCAGTAACGCCAGCATCTGGAGCTGTGGAACTCACTAAAGCCTGTTCTCATAGCTCCCAGGTCCCCACCTCCCCACCCCCTGATTTCAGGAAACCCCAGAGCAGGTGAGGGAACTGAGGCAGGGGAGCCCCTGAATTCAGGCAGCTGTGCGGGGTTCAGCTGAGTTGATGGGGTGTGGCATGTTGGGGGTCATACATAGTGACTGGCCTGAAGAGACCAGCGGCCTGTCCTTGATACAGAGACTATAACTGGAGTCTCCTGTGGGTGCCGGGTCTGGGATGTGCTGCCACCCACAGCCCCTCATGCAGAGCTGAGGATGCTATCACGGGGCACACAGTGCACGACCTGTAGGCATTGTTGTAAAAAGCGAGTGTGTACGCTTGTGTGCACACATGCCCACATGTATTCACATGCATGCACACACACTCGAACATGTATAAACCATGTTGTCTCTTATCTGTTTGTCTCTTGAAACAGTTCTCATTGCGTAGCCCAGGCTAATCTAGAACTTGTGGTCCTCCTGTCTCTGTTTCTCTAGCACTGGGACTACAGTCCTGTATTACTATGTCTGTCTGTGCTACTTCTTCCTCCTGGCCTTCATCTTCCTCCTCCTCTCCCCATCCCTCTCTCCTCTCTATCCTCCTTCCTTCCTCCTCTTCTTTTTCAAAAAATACTTTACTATTTTATGTTTACGTGTTTAGGCCCGAGAATATGCATGTGTACAATGTTCATGTCTGGTGCCCTTGGAGACCAGAAGAAGGAATCAGATCCCCTAGAACTGGAGTGACAGGCAGTTGTTAGCCACTCTTGTGGGTGCTGGAACCAAACCCAGGACCTCTGGAAGGGCAGCAAGTTGTCTAACCACTGAGCAGTCTCTCCTCAAACTCATTCTGTAGCCCAGGACGCTATTACAGTCTTGCTATGCACTGAGTCCTGGAGCTGCAGTGTGCACTGCCACACTGGCCTCTGCTCCCACAGCTCTGTATCCACTGATTACTGGTGGCCAGCAGAGGCCTGTGGCTATCCCTTCAACTCGGCACCTGCCATTGAAAGTGATGGTTGCAACTGTCCGTAGTTCCCCAGCAAGCCCCAAAGGTGGCCTTGTGTTCCTGCCACATTGTCCTGCCTCCTGTCTGTACCCTTGACACAGAGGTGCTCAGATTCTAGGCACGGCCTGGGCAGCTGGTCTGTCATGTAACAAGGTAAGATGGGGCGGGGCAGGAAGTCTCTCCTGCTTCCCCTGACTATGGTCTAGGGAACCTATTTCAAACAATTCAGGGTTTTAAAACCCAGGCTCAGGGTTGGGGATGTGGTTCAGGTGTAGAATGCTTGCCTACTGTGGACTTGATTCCCAGACCACAAACACTGGCATGGTGGTACACACCTATAAACCCAGCTCTCAGAGGTTCAAGGTCATCCTCAGCTACATAGGGAGTTTGAGGCCAGCCTGGGCTACCTGAGACTCTGTCTTTAAAAATGAAGCCAAGGCCATAGTAGAAGGTCATCAGGTAAGCTCTGTCGTGTGTCTCCTGCCCCCCTCTCCCCTTCCCCCGCTGGGACTTTTTCAGGGCCAGAGTCACCTGCAACCAGAGTCAGGCAACAAGACACAATGGTTTGAGGCCCAGGTGGAGGCAAAGCTGGTGACAGCAGGCAGACCTATAGCCCTTGATGGAAACATCACGTGGCAGACAGGCAGCAGGCTGTCCATCTCTGTGTGTCTGAGGCGCACGTTCAATGACCGGACTCATGTAACAGGTAGTAACCAGCACCCTTGTTCTGTGGTCAGGTTGGGGATGGATGGCCCAGTGTCCTGTGTGACCCCCACCAGCTAGGCCTCCTTCACACTGATGTCCATCTAACAGGTACCAGGCCCTGTGGGCTCCCACCCACTTGCCCACTGTCTAAGGTGACAGCTTTGGGACCATTTTGACTCTAACCCACTGTGAGAAGCAGATTTAGCTTCTGGATTTAGAACATACATCATGTAGGTTTTGTTTTGTGATAGTCTATTATAGGTAGCTGAGGATGACCTTGAACTTCTAACTCCCCCTGTCACAGGTGTGCACCACCACACCCAGGTTTCAGTGTGGAGAGTCACACCCAGGGCAGAATGCTAGACAGACACCTAACCAACTGAGCTAAATCCCTAGTCCCAGGGTACTAACTGAACGCAGCCCAGCCAGGTCCCATGAGAGCAGTACTGGCTCTGGTGCTAATCAGCTTAGCCCTTGGCTATGCTCCTTGTGATGTTCTGAAAGATTCTCCAGGCCTGGGCTGGAGGAACTTGGAGCAGTGGCTGTTGATTGCCTGGTGTAGGCAATTTGGGGTCCTGTAGCATGGTTTAGCTCTGTGCACTTTGGCTGCATGACAGACTTGCAGAGCCGAACGTTCTAGAGAGTAAGATAAGCCCAGTTACCTGGGACATTTTGTTCTCTCCTCTCCTGTCCCACTCTGCATTGTTTCATCTCTCTTCACAGGCCGCAACCTGCCGAGATGACACAATCGCCCCAGATGGTGGACATCACACTGTCTGTGCCCTGCTGTCAATGCTCCTGAGACACAGGAGAAGCAGGGGTGGGGTCTCTGAGTCCCCAAGGTGGGGAGTGTGCTGGGGGTCAGTCACCAATGATGGTGCCTACTGTCCCACAGTGTTGCTGGAGAAGAAGACAGAGGCTGGGCTACATTCGGCCATTCTGGACATCCAGCTGCAGGTCCCTGGTGTGGTAGAGCTCCACATACAGGGCCTGCTGGAGCAGCATGGTCCTGTGGGAAGCAGCACTCTGAGGATCAAGTATGGCCTCCTGGGTACGGTACTGGGGCCGGGGGAACGTACCCTACACTGTGCCTAGGGGCTAGGATGCCACCTTCCCCACACTGCCAGCATTCTGTTGGCACTGCCCTTGATCAGACACACTGCTAAATACAAACAACAGTGGGCGTTGGAGGGCTGCTCACCTGTCCCTTAGAAAGCTGCGTCGAGAGGCTAGGGATTTAACACAGTTGGTAGAGTGCTTGTCCAGCTGCATGGGAGGTTCCATCCCTAGCATTTAGTAAACCATGCGTTGTGTCACAGGCCTGTGATCCAAGCACATAGGAGCTGGAGAAGGAGAACCAGGAGTCTAAGATCGACCTTAACCACATAACCACTGGCCAACTTACTGCATGAAACCCTGTCTCCAAAAGCAAAGTGGGGGTGCCCTGGTGGCATGCTTACTTAGGGTGCCTGAAGCCCTGGGTCGGGTTGGGGCTCACCTCTCCTTGGAGCTTGGCAGACACGCTGGGCAAAAGGAGGCAGGGCTCTGGGCTGACCCACACAGGTGAGACGAGGCATGTTGCCCATGAGTGCAGTACCCACCAGAGGCTGAGGATGGAGAATGGCCCCAAGGACACCCATGAGTTGGAGCTGGCCCACGAGTTCCACTGCACACAGCTCCCGATCATCAGTCACAAGGTTGGCACTTGGGCGGGGAACTGAGGATTTCAAAGCCTGTCACCATTCTTGGAGGGGTGGGTCACACAGCTCCAGGCTCTTTGGTGGGTTGCTTTTATTAAATACCTACTGTTTACCCAGCCTGGAGCAGAGAGCCATAGGGAAACAGGGTTGATGCTTGCCACCTGATTGATTGGTGTAGATAAAGTAACAGAGAGAACTGAAATCATGGAAAATATGATTGCCTGAGTGGGGTGGGAGAGCTGAACACAGGCGACCTTGTTTGAGACAGTACCCGTGGGAAGACATCTCTGGTCAAGTAAGTTTCCACTGTAAATTAAAATATAAGGTGACTTCATCCCCATAGAAGTGTGTCCTGGGCAGAGGGGAGGGTGAGTACCAAGGTCCTGGGCAGGAGAGAGGGGGAGGGGTCATGAGATGTTAGCTAGAAGAGCAAAGAAAAGGGGGCAGGGATGTTGCTTTTGTTGGGGGGAGGTTATTTGTGTGCAGTGTGGAGATTGAACCCAGGGCCTCATACATGCTGGGAAAGTGCTTTCCCACTGAGCCTCATTGCCAGATCATCTTTATTAATTTACTTTCTTCTTTATTATTTTTTCAAGAGAGATTTTTTTTTCCAAGACAGGGTTTCTCTGTGTAACAGCCCTGGAACTGGAACTCATTCTGTGTAGACCAGGCTGGTCTCGAACTCACAGAGATCCGCCTGTCTCTGCCTCTTGAGTGCTGGGATTAAAGGGTGTGCTCCACCGCCACCCTGCCATTTTTATTCAGTTTTTAACCTTCGTTTTTTTTGTGTGCATGGGTGCTTTGCCTGTGTGCATGTCTGTGTACCACACACATGCAGTGCCCATGGAAGCCAGGAGAGGGCGTTGGAAGTCCTGGGAATCAAACCCATGTCCTGTGGAAGGGAAGCTAGTGCTCTTAACCACTGAGCCATCTCTCCAACCCATATTTTTAATTATGTGTACCTGTGTGTGGGTTTGTGCATGTGAGTGCAGTACCTGCACAGGCCAGAAGGGGGTTTCAGAGCCCTTCGGTTGGTTGTGAGCCACCAGACTTGGGTGCTGAGAACTGGTGCCCTCTGCAAGAGCAGCATTAACTACTGAGCTGTCCTCCAGCCTGTTACTTTCTATTTTGTTAAAGTGTATGTATGTGTGTGCATGTGCTAGCATGTGTGTGTGTGCACACGTGTGCACATGTGTGAGTGCATGTACACACGTGTGTGCAGATACTCAAAGACCCCAGAAGAGGACATCGGTTCCTTGGAGCTGGAGTTACAGGTTTCAGTGAGCTACCTGATGAGGGTGCTAGGATTCTGGCCCTTATAATTGAGCAGCAAGTGCTCTTATCCCCCCAGCCGTCCCTCCAGCCCTCAGCCTTACCTTCTTAGAGCTGCCTTCTCCCATTGGCTGTTGCCCTGTTGCCCTGGTGAGGGTGCGGGGCTCATGACTTCAGGCTTGTTTATTTTTAGGTACCTGATATGTAGCAGTACACTCAGCCTCGCCTGTCTCTCAGGAGCAATGCAGTGTGTGGACAGGCAAATGAGGACAGGGGAGACGGCTTTGTTGGTAAAGTGCTTGTCATAGAAGTCTAAGAACCTGCGTTTGAACCAGAGAATTCACACACACACACACACACACACACACACACACACACACACACACACACACACACACACACAGAGGCAGGCGTTAGGACCAGAGAGATGGCTCAGACTTAGGAGTGCTCACTTCCTTTGCTTTCCTTTCTCTCCTTCCTTCCTTTTGAGACAGGGTCTCTGTGTAGCCCTGGCTGCCCCCAAAACTCCCTATGTAGACCAGGCTGGCCTCAAACTCAAAGAGATCCTCTTGCCACTATCTCCAGAGTCTGGGATTAAAGGTGTGCACACCCAACAACTCACCATTCTTGAAGAAGACACTGGTTTGGTTACCAGCACCCACGTGGTGGCTCACAACCATCTGACTAGTTATTTCCTCTTCTGGCCTCCATGGGTGTCAGACACATGAATGGTGCATGCGCATACATACAGGCAAGACATTTGTATAAATAGAGTATTAATTAATTTTAAAATAATAAAAATTTAAACGTTACACTGCTGTGTATTTTTTAAAAAGACACATAAGGCTAGGTATGGAATTTCCTATCTTTAATCCCAGCACTCAGTGAGCAGAGGCAGGTGATCTCTGAGTTTCAGGCCAGTCTGGTCTACAGAATGAGTTCCAGGACGGCCAGAGCTACAGTCTGAGACCCTGTCTCAAAAAACAAACAAACAACCCCCCAAAAGACAGATAGCACCTGAGGAATGGTATCTGGGACTGTCCCCTGGCCTCTACACTGAAACAAACACACATGCTTATACACACTCATTCTCTCTCTGTCTCTGTCTCTGTCTCTGTCTCTCTTTCTCTCCCTCCCTCCCTCCCTCTCTCTCTCACACATACACACACACACACACACACATACATAATCAATTAGGGTGAAAGCACTTGCCCAGCGTGTGTAAGGCCTTGGGCCATCCCCAGCATCAAGGGACAATCCAGTGTGCATTACCCTGTCTGAAGAACCCGTGTCTGCAGAAAACAAGCTGACTCTTGGGGAGGGGTGACGGCTCTGGGCTGTGTGGCAAGCCTCCTCAGGGAATTCAGTATGGGTGTGTCCCCAGGTTCAGCTACAGCACAAACAGGACCTGGACCACCTACGCTGGCAGCTGGAGGCCAGCTACGGGGAGCAGTGGGCTGCAAGAGGCAACAAGAGATTCTTGCGTGTCAGCCAGACCTTCAAGAATGATTCGGGACTAGCACTCCGCAATTACTTCCTGGAGGTGAGCCTGCAGCCAGAGCAGAGCCAAGACCTTGCCAACCAGCCTAGAAGGGTGTGGGGGCGCCGGACGTGTTCCAGTGCAGACATGTTCGCAGACCATCAGGCTTGATGATGTCCCTTACCCATCTCCTCACCCGTGTCCTCAGTGTGAGGCTTTGCAAGGGATGGCATGTGCCACCACACTGTGCTTAGCCCAGGCTTGCTTTCTACTTAGAGGTGAAGTGTAGGGGGGTGGTGGGCTAGGGCACCCTGGCTGGATGGGAGAGTGGGGTGCTCTACGTTTGGAGCGGGGACTGCCGGGGTGCCTGGGGTGTATTCTCCAGCTGGCACTGCAGGTCCCAGAGAGGTGAGTGGATTGCCTCATGCAGCTGTACCACTTGAGCCTCCAGCAGCCCCATATCGAAAGCAGCACATACCTGAAGGTGCTGTTCAATGGGCAGCTGCCCTTTGTGGCAGGCTTGCACTGGAAGGACACATCCAAGGCCACCCTGTGGAGATGGGAAGGTGAGTGCCAACTCTGGGTCCTCCTGAGCCACTGGCTTCTATGACTTCCAGGCTTCTACTAGACTGTGTCTTCTCCTTGGAACACCTTTGCATCCATGTGCTGGTCTTACTCAAGCAAAGCTGTGGCACAAAGATGTCCTAAGTGTCCCCTTGTCATCTTCCTCTACATAATCTCCCCCATCTCTCTGAAGCCTGTTGATTTGCAGCCCCCTGTTTCTGTTCCCTAAACACACCTCAGGGCCTTGGCTCTAGTTCCTTTCCCTTGCAAAATACCTTTTACCACTTCTGAAACATGTGTTTGCTATAGTTTGTTTCTAATTTAACCTTTTAGAATTAGCTTTTGTTTTTATCCAAGCAATACAAAGCTTAACCAGAATTTAGACTATTCATTGGGCATTTCTGAGTGTGGGTTAGTATTCCCCAGGGGCTCATGCTATGATCAGAGGAGTACTTAAAGTGCTTTTATTTTTTGAGATAAGGTCTTACATATAGGTCAGGCTGTCTGACCTCAAACTTCTCACAGAGCTGAGGATGACCCTGAACTTCTGATTCTCCTGCCTCTGCTTTCCAAGGGCTGGGATTGCAGGTGTGCATAACCATGCCCCAGTTTTATACAGTGCTGGGGATGGAACTCAGTTGGTAGCCTGCTTGCCATTTAAAATCTGCATTCCATGAAGTGCATTTTCAGCAGTAAAGCTTACAGAAGGAACCCCCTGCCTGTCTTCCCACCCCAACTCTTGCTCCCGGCAGTAACTAGTGTGAATTGTCTCAGCTATGTCTTCAGATACTCATTTGAAAACAACACAGCCTCACTGCCATTGCATTTCAGTAGGCATTCTTGGAAGAAGATGAGAATCCAGTTCTCACAAGGGCCCTTTTCCAAATATCCATTTCCTCCCATCCTCCAGAAAGAGCTGTTTGCTGCTGCTCTGTGTTTATGTAGCGGGACCATGTACATGCCTTCCTGGCAGGATGTGTAGGAACAGTGCTTACAATTACCTCTTCTAATGTTTTATAAGCTTCCTGTCTTCCTCCTTTTAATTATTCCCAGGGCTTTTAACAACTTTCCTGGAATCTTCTCCAATGGTCAGGTTTGTCTGAGTGCTTCTGGGTTTTAGTTACTTCAGAGCTGCCCTGAAGGCTCTTCCTGGCACCATTACCTCTACCCCTCTGTTGTCCCATTAGGAGCTCATGCCACTTGTCCCTGTGTTTTGGGCCTTTGGAATCTTTTGCATGCTCCTTTGTTCAGACGGAGTACGCCTTCCAGTAGCTTCCAGGCAGGTGCACTAGTTTCCAGTGGCTGCTATAACAAATGGTCACTAACAGGGGAGCTTAAAGAGAGAAAGCCTTTTGTAGTCCTGAAGGCCGTGCCTGTTGAAGGGTCATCAGAGCTCTGCTGCACCCTGAGAGCACTTCCTTGCTCTTTCGTGGCTTCTGGAGAAGGCGTCAAGGCTTGTTCCTTGGTTTGCAGCTGTTTCATTGTCACTTGTCATTCTCTGTGTGTCTCTGAGCCCACATTCCCTTCTTTTTATAAGTACCCCAGTTATATTGATTTAAGGGCCAGCCACCAGGATGACCTCATCTTAACTATAGTTGCCATAACCCCTTTCTCAACCCAAGGACATCACCTGACATCTAAAGGCCATAGCACCCTCATTAACACTCCATATTTAGTGTTTTGTTTGCTTTTAACACAGTTACAGGTCTCAGACATCAACTTTATAGGCAGCAGTGTCATACCGTAGTGTAAAAGGTTCACAGACCTTGCAAACATCAGTCCTTCACCCAAGCATTGTAACCTGTATTTCATTAACTAGAAAGGAACACAGTAATCCCTAGGGTGCCACTGGGTGAGTTTTGAGAGGTGTGAATGCACTGCAGTCCACGTTCCTACCAAAACCCACATTTCTTTCATCCTATAAAGGAATTCTGGTGCCCAAACCCAGGAACCCCCAGCTTTGCACGGCTGTGATAAGACTGTGAAGGGTGGCCTCCTGGTATATGCCAATCACTTTCTTGTCCCCCACACCAGCTTCTCTCTGTGCTCTTGCAGGAGCCTTGAACTTGGACAGCCCATGGCTAACAGTGTCTGCAGCTCACAGGCTCAACTGGCCACACTGGGCCATGTTCCAGGCTGTCTCAGAGCTGACACTGGCCAAGGCCTGGACTCTCAAGGATTTGGTGGTCAGCATGACCTGCAGGAGGCAGGGCCATGACAGGGAAGTCAAGATCCAGGTGTACACTGAAGCCACCACCTATCTCTGGGTGAGCAGTGCAGGTGGCACCCCTGTCACCTCGTGGGCATGCACGTGCATGCAAGTGTATGACTGTCTTTGCTTGTGCATATGCAAGTATGCACACAGCTTGGTGTATTTGTCCCTGGCTTTTTTTTTTTTTGTCAACTTTACACAAATTAAACTTAGTTGAGAAAACACTTCCATCAGATTGCCAGTAGGGGAGTCTATAGTGCATTTTTGTAATTAGTGATTGATGGGGGGGGGGTCCTAACCCATTGTGAGTGATGCCGCCCTTGGGCAAGTGGTCCTGAGTGATATAAGAAAACAGTCTGAAAAAAGTCACCAGGAGCAAGCCAGCGAGCAACACTCCTCCACACCTCCATCTCTGGTTCCCATCTCCAGATTCCTACCTAAAGTTCCTGCCCTGACTTCCCTCGGTGATGGGGTGTGGCCTGAGACTCATAAGAGGAAACGTACTCCTCCCAAGTTGCTTTGGGTCATGGTATTTTATCGCTGCAATAGAAACCCTAAGACAGTGTTTGTGAATATTTGTGTATGTGCTGTGTAGGTGTGTATGTATGTATGTATGTGCATATGTGCCTATCTATGCACGCACACACATGGATTTGTGTGTGTGTGTGTATGTGTGTGTGTGTGAGCATGCGTGTTTGGATGTATGTGTACTGGGCTGGGTGTAGACAGAACAAGGGTGCCTTGAACCTAGACAAGCCCTGTGTCCTGCTGCCTCCCCCTGTCATCACTTGCACAGGAGCTGGACTCCCTGCTGTTGACACCGCCTACACACAGGGAAAACTGGAGGCCTGTGGCTGATATCACCCCGCAGACACAGGGACTGGACTCAGCCAGAGTTACCAGAACTGTCATCAAGAGAATCTAAAAAGAGACTCCATAAAGACAGTCCAGATCCTGTAGTTTGCTTAGCAGCTTCTGGGGTGGTGAGTGGTCAGATGGCCCCTTGCAGACATTAGGCCACCAGAACGACAGCTTGAGGCCACAGCTGGCATTATTCAGTGACTTCAGTGAAGGGCCTTTCTCTGACTATGCCATGAGCATGGTAAGGACAGGCATTGTCACCCAGACTGAGCCCCAGAAAGTCCTGCTCCAAACCTCTTCTTTCCTGGAGCAGTGCAGAACCAGGAAGGGTCCATCCTACCTCAGCCTTTGTGGGCAACTTGATTCCTTCTTGGGCAGCGCAGTCCCCTCTGGGACAGCACAGTCTCCTCTGGGGCAGCACAGTTCCCTGGGACAGTGTGGTCCCCTCTGTGACAGCACAGTCCCCTCTCGGGCAGCACTGGGTAGACAACACTGGTGAGTTATTCCTGACGATCTCAGGTGATGTGAGGAGGTGGCTGGGTGTCAGGGACAGTCAGGGTAGGACTGTGAGAAAGAGGTGGCAGCTGGTTCCTATGGGTCACCACCAGCTGGTGGGGAAGGTAACTTAGATGAGCCCAGGTTCCGGAGAGGCTGGGCCTGCTGCAGAGTGGCAGCGGATGGGTTTTAAGGAAGGGAAAAGTGACACACTGTGGTTTCCACCTGAACATCTGGTTGGAGAAGCTAAGATGGGGAAGCCCATCACAGGGTCTGGCATTTGGCTGGAGTGTCAGCAATGGCCTTACTCAATTAGGTCTTCAAAGAGTGTGACCCAAGACATGGCTCTAGAGTAGAAGGCACTGCATGAGGGCTTGGGCTGGGGACTGGGGGCTGGGAAAGGGCCATGGTCATAGGCCTCCTCCAACCCCAGTACAAACCAGAGTAACACCTGCTCCTCCAGGCTCTGGAGACCACAGGGTGACCTAGGGAGCAGAAGCTGCTTGCTAGAATGTGCCCCTTGGAATGCAGAGATGGTGTCTGCTAAGAATGGTTGGCCTAGCAAGATAATAGTCTTACCCTAAATCAAAGAGGAGGGTTGGCTTGCTTGGCTCAGAGTTATAGAAAGGCTTTTTCTTTTGGGTCCTATAAGGAAGAGCCAACCCACCCACAGACAGTCTTGCCTGGAGGAGCTGCGAAGGATGAACAGGAGTTCACCAAGCAGAAAAGAGAACGAGGGGCAGCTAGCAGGAGGGGATAAATGTTTCGAAGGCCCTGCTCATTCAACCTGGCCTTCTGCAGGTTTCCATGGTGACAACCTTGATGCCAGGCCTCTTCCACAGCAGGAATGAGCTTGAGACAGCCTGGAGTACAGCTGTGCAGAGTGAGATTCATGCAGAGAACAGCCAGGACAGGAAGGTCCTGCACTGCTGGCTGAAGAGTCTCCAAAGGGAGCTGAACCTCACCGCAGCCTACAAGCACGCACAGAAGGTGAGGGCCAGGTTGCCCTTGCAGCTGGGGGACCCTGGGTCCCCTTCCCCCTCTCTGTTTGGCCTGTGACCTTGGGCCTCTTAGAGCATCGATTTCTTCTAGACAACAGGCATGTTAGTGTAGACCGTAGGGTCAAGGAGTTGGGGACTCAGCTTCCTTAGCCTAGAAGTTCCAGATGCTGGTGGGTGGAGGGGTGCCTGGGAGGGAGAGTTTGGTAGTTAGCCCTGAGGACCTTGTGGGCTGGCCCATAGGCTGCAGCCAGGCTCAGTAGCCATTCCGGCAGTCAATCCCAGGGCACAGGCAGTAGGAGGCAGCCTTTGTCCCTCTATGTATAAGGGTCAGCAGCTGGCTTTCCCCTAGCAGTGGGTCCTTCACCCACCCTCCAAGCTCTGTTCTCATCACAGCCCCCAAAGACCCAGGTGCTGCTGACAGTCCTGGGGACTGGTATCCTGGGCCAGCCTCAAGGCCTGCAGCTGAAGGGAGAGCTGGAGCGGCTGCAGTGAGGCAAGACGGTGTACTGGAAGCGAGGAACACTGCTCCTCAGGTCTGTGCCCCTTCCCTGAAGCCATCGCCCCTAGGGAGCTGTCCACAATACCATTCCTCCAGTATGGAGGATCTCTGGGGGCTTCTAAAGAAACTGTGCTACAGTTCAAAAAGATCACATGGTGTCAGGCCACCAGCCCTGCAGCTCCTTCCAGTGGCCCCATCAGTTGGCAGAGGTATGAATGGGAGCTGGCAGCTCATGGTTGAGCCTGAGAGCTGCCCCCAGGAATCTTAGCGCTTTACCTGTAGAACGGCTGGTGGAAAGCTGTTCGGGCATGGCTTGTGGCTCAGCTGATGAAGCTGTTCAGGCTTGGCTTGTGGCTCAGCTGATAGTATTTGGCTAGCCTGCATGGAGGTCTATGTCAGTCCCCGGTACTTTAAACCAGGTCTGGTGGCACGTGCTTGTAATCGCTGCACTCAGAGGCAGAATGATCAAAAGTTCAACACTATTGAGGAAACAGAAGCGTTAGAAGAAGCAGACCCCTTCTAGAACCCAGGTTCTGCCACTCTGTGACCTTGAGAGAGTTGCCTCCCCTATCAGAACTGTGATAGTAAAAAAAAAAAAAACCAGTAATGCCAAGAGTTGGCAGAGAACTCATTTGTCCATGTTGGTTGGTGTTTACTGCCACATGCTATGTGCCAAGCCTTGATTCAGTCTCAAGGAAAGTGACAGAGAAAAAAAGAAAAGAAGGGAATGCTTGACCTTAATACATAGAATTCATCTTAAATGACCTCCCTATAGGACACAAAAATGACTGCCATTATTGTCCCATTTTAAGGGTGAGGAAACTGAGGCATAGGACATTAGGCCCTTTACCCAAGGTTGTTCATCTAGCTGAAGACTGAACCTGGATTCCAGACATGGTCCTGGGCTTTCATTCCAACTGCTGATCTCATTGCTGTAGTGAGATGGCAGATGGGGGTTGACCGGCAAACTGTACATGAGTATGCATGCTGAGATGAGGTTACAGTATGTAGCCCAGGTTGACCTAGAATGCGTGATCTGCCTGTCTCTGGCTTTTAAACACCAGGATTACAGCTATGTGCCTCCATGCTAGGCTTCTTATTTCCTTGTCTTTTTCCACGTGTGTGTGTGTGTGTGTGTGTGTGTGTGTACATGTGTGGGGGGGCATGTGTGTGCACTTGCATGTGGAAGGCCCAGGTTAATCTCAGGAATCACCCTGAATCATTCCCCACCTTGTCCTATGAGGCAGAATCTCTTAACCAAAGCCCAAGCTCACCAATATGTCTATTTGCATTTGGGGTCCCGCCTGCCCCTTCCCAGACTAGATTAAAAATGAGTCGCCACACCCAGCTGGGATTTATGTGGGTTCTGGACTCTGAACTCTGGTCTTCTCGCTGGTGGCAAGCATTTTAACCACTGAGCCATCTCCCTGGCTCCATGCCAAACTTCGATGGGCAAATCTTAGTGCTCAGGGCTGCTGTGTGCCCTCCAGGGTCACTCTCTGTGAGTTTAGGACAAGATACATGTGACTGGAGAACACAGCTGTCCCCAATCTTGCCAGCTGTCTTAATGTCTGCAGCCTGTCTTTTCTCCACCCCAGGCACCCCTGGCACCTCCTGATCCCTCAGAGCCTCCTCTTGCAGGGGACCTTGATGGTGGACAAACAGCGCCAGCATCACTCCCTGGAGACCAAGGCTATCCTGAATGGCCAGGAGGAGATCCTCCACACTGTGGTGCTGGGCTTCCAGGCTGGACACCCCTATGTGAGTGGGCTGTAGGGAAGGTGGACTCTGGAAGCAGGGCACCTGCTGACCTCTGCACACATATGTCTCTCCCAGATCTGCACAGGCCTGAGGCACCCCTTTGATGATAAGACTATCCCCAGGAGCCTGGAGGGGTGCCTGGTGGCTTGGAATCTGAGCAATGTAAGTGACTTTTCCAATCCACTTGTCCCTGTTCAGTTTTATCACCTCTGACGCAGACAAGCACAATGTCTCCCCGCCTGGATTCTCTGTCTGCCCCGTGCCTCTGCTGCACTCTGCACTCCACAAGAACCTTTACAAGATGCTCGCACAGTTTGTTACTCCCCCGCTCCTCACAGCTGTCTCAGGACGGCGAGCCTGACTCCGTGCTGCTGCAGCTGCTTCATCCAGGCCATCCACCACCTAGCACACATCTTTCCCGATTCAGGAACACGGCACATTCTGAGGCTGGAGCTGTCGCTGCTTCTTGAGCTTCTCTTCCCTCTGCCATCTGGGTAGTCACACCTCAGGTCTCCTGGTACACTTTCCTGCCCACCCCCCACAGCCCCTCCCATCCCCATTCCCAGTTCAGCTTTGAGCACCTATATGACACGTCCACTCACATTTACATCATCTTTCTGCCCATCTTGGTTGCTCTGCTGGTCTGTAATGGTCCCACGGGTTCTCGCAGTCACCACTTCTCCACACTGCAAGGGGTATGCTGCATAATGGCTTGATGAGTCACTATAATTCAGTTAGCTTAATGCTATTTATATTCTGTTAGCCTTCGGAGCTGACAGCATCTCTTTAGGCCTGTGGGTTCATGGCCTCTGTTACAGTGACTTCATGTCCCTGTTCAGTGTGAAAGTACATTAAGCAATTGTTTAGTGAGTACATGTGACTGTCCCAATATAACTTTATAGGACTGGAGGGATGGCTCATTAGCTAAGAAGACCTGCTCCTCATTCAGAGGATCCTAGTTCAGTTCCCAGCAGCCACACCACCCTTAACTCCAGCCCCAGGCATGTGATGGCCTCTTATGGCCTCCATAGGCACCTGCGCTCACACATACAGACACATGATTAAAAGGGCGAATAGCAGAAGGCAGAGTCAGGAGGGTCTCTGGGAGTTTGAAGCTGGTCAAATTCCAGACCAGCAAGGACTATATGGTGAGACCCTGTGTCCAAATGAAATTTAAAAATAAATAAAAATTAAAGCCGTTTTAAAATCTAGCAGACGAAACTGGCTGCATTGGCCAAGTTGGCTACAGTCCATAGTCTTGATTTGCAAAACTTTAGCACACACACCCTAGACTCACAGTGCCTGTATGTCACTACAAGTCTGTGTCCCTAGACCTCAGTTCCTTTTACTGTGAAGTGTGCAGTGTGTCCCTTTTCACACAGCAGCCACAGCTCACAATATAATTAGTAACCTCCCCCTAAGCACTTTGCGTACGACAGGTTTGCCAGGCCTCCTTAGACAATTTTTCCTGACTTTCGGGGGGGGGGGGGGGGAGGCGTGGTGGGATCACCACAATCTCCAACAAGCTTTTATTGAACACCTGCTGTGCACAAGGAACAAAATAGTGCTTCTCTCCTCCCGGAAGGAAGATGGAGCCAAGCAGGCAGTGGGGGCCAAGCAGATTCCAGGACTTCACTTCCCATGAGTCAGGGAGGCTCAGTGATTCCTCCCATGCTAGCCAGTAACACCTGAGAGAAACAGTACAGAATGCCAAGCCAGACACCTGCAAGGGTGGCTCTCGGTGGCTTTTATGGGTTCCTCAGCCAGAGACTGCCTAGTGACACTCCAGGCCAAACACAGCCATATGTGTGTTTTTATGGCCTGCCTATCTTGAGAATTAGGAGATTTTAGACGAAGCCAGGATTTCTGCTGTTTATAAGAAAAGAAAAATAAGAAGGTCTGGTCCTGCTTAGACTCAAATCCCAGCTGACAACATCTGGCCAGGATCAGGGGCTGGAGAGTCCTCCATTTACTATCCTTCTGCTGTCTACTCTACTCAGAGCTGTGCCTTGGCTGGGAAGGTAGCTCCATGGGAGAGTAATTGCCTAGGCTCTAGGTGCTGGTCCTGCACTCAAAAAAGAACCAAAAGATTTTGTCACACACATTTCCCTCCCTGGCTGCTTCCTTTCCTGCCACCTTGGTTCCAAGATAAACCATGCTTGTTTATATAGTGTGAGCCACCATGTCCTGGGGCAGGCGATTGGAATTCTTCATCATACACACAGGAAGGAGTGAAATCAACCAGCAAAGGTATCATCGGCCTCCTTTAGCCCCTGAGTGAATAATTGATACTGTGTTTCCTTTTGTTAGGTTACATATTGCCCCAAATGTAGCAACTTCAAACCGTCTTTCTGTCCCTGAGCTCAGAGGAGCAAAGGAATCTCAGTGGATTAAAACTGGAACCGGTACCACAGTCTTGCTTACAGAAATGCTCTAGAAGAAGCCCCTCTCTTCCCATTCTGCTTCAGAGACCATCTGCACTCCTTGACTCTTCCAAAGACAGCAGGAGAGTCCACTTTCTGTGTGTCTGACTGTGACCCTCCTGCTGCCCTCATACGATCTTCATTTAGATGAAGATGGAAACCTGTCCCTATCTCCAGATCCCTGAATCTCCTTTCTCCAGAAGGGCATGTTGCCTCAGGCTCCAGGGGTTAGGATGTGGGTCTTTTGTTCCCTTTCCTACTCTGTGCCCTTTGACCACTGCAGTTCAGCTTTAACATTGCCATTTCAGGCTAGAACTAATGATTCTGCATTTACTAAGTACCTACTGTGTGTTGGCATCTAAGTACTAGGAAGGTAGCAGTGAAAAAAATAGACTGAGCCCCACTTTGTGGGGAGAGTCTTAACATCACTTCCATTAAGCCCACCTCTAGCTCAGAGTACTGGGGTTGCCCTCTTGGAAAGTCCAGCATGCACCTGTCTTTTTACTCCCTCTAGACCACTTGCTTTCAGCCTCTGAATTCTGATGTTGCTTCTGTTGCATGTGGACACAATGGTGACCTTTCTCTATACCTCTGAGTCTCACACATGCAGGCTAAGAACAGTGAACTCAAGGCTACATTAAAAGTCAACCAGAAAGTCATTCTGTATCTGAAGGGTTTACACCAGGGCAGCTCTCAGCATGGAAGGATCCAGCACAGTGTAGCTTTGGATGCCACCCATTCCTCCCAAGTGAGTGTCCCTGGGCTGAGCAAACATTAGCTATTGTTTGCCAAGGGGAGCCTGAGAACTGCTATGGGGTACATGCCTGTAATCCCAGCACTCAGAGAGGTGAATAGGGAAGATTGGGGGTTCAAGGTCTTCCTTAACTGCAGCCTTAGCTGTTTAGCCTGGGTATGTGAGTGCTTTCCTTTTAAACTTTTACTTTTTTATTTTTTAGTTAATACACACACCACACACACACACACACACACACACACACACACACACACACATATATATATATACACAAGCACACATACACTTACACTCACAGAAAACTAAATAAGACAAAACAAGACAAAATAAAACATGGAACATGCTGAGGGAGCTGAGGGGGGCCTTCAAGAGTGAAGGGTGTGATTCCTCCTGGCTGTTTCCCCAGATCCTCCACTTGAATGGTGGCTTTGACCTCACAAGGCATCCTCGACAAGGAGCATTTGACTTCAGTGTAGATGTACAAGCTTCTATCAACCACAACGCCACATCCCAGGTCAGAGGCGGGACTCTGCCCCACATGAGGAAAAGGGTCTTAATAATCTACTGAAGGGGACTAGGGCTGCGGCTCAGTTGGTAGAACACTTGCCTGGTGTGCATGAAGTCCTGGCATCCATTCCCAGCACAGCTTAACTCAGGCATGGTGGTGCACACCTGTAATCCCACAGGAGAGTCAGGGGTTCAAGGCCACTCTCAGCTACATAGAGTTTGGAGCCAGGCTGAGGTATATGAGACCTTTCTCCAAAAAATAAAAATAGCCAGTCTCTCAGTTAGAGTTTCTATTGCATCATGGCCAAGGAAACTTATAAAAGAAAGGGTTTAATTCAGAGGTTGGAGTCCATGCAGGTAAAGCAAAGACACAACACAGGAACAGCTGAGTGCTTAGCTCACACCTTGACCCTCAAGCAGGAAGCAAAGGGTGCATATTAGGAAGGCTTTAAACTTTAACCACGCCCCCACTCCTGCCACATGGCACACCTCCTAATCCTTCCCAAACAGCCACCAACAGGGAATCAAGTATCCCAACCACCACATCCAGAAAAGGGGCCACATAAGAGGTGATGGGGACATAAGAGGATGACACGGTGGCCTGGGAAGCTAGCAGCCCAGTCCTTGTTTAGGAGAGAAGCACTGATGGGTCTCCCCAGTCGATGTTTGCCTTACTCTCTGTCCACACTGCATCCCAAAGCAGCCTGGCCCCACACACCCACACAGCAGCACAGAGACGCCCTGCCCCACACACCTGCATTATAGCTCAGAGTAGCCTTGCCCCATGTGCCCACTCAAGGATCCAGGCAGGTGTCAGGAAGAGGGTAGAGAATTCATGAGGTGTTTCTGAGGGCTAGGGCTTTCAGTAACACCATCACTCCAGACAATATGCCTGGCCAGAACTCATAGGAAATCCCACTTGGCTGTGGGGACATCTGAGAAACGTAGTTTGGCTGTGGGTCTTGGAGGAAAATCCCCTAGAGTAGCCGCTGTGGGTGTTTTTCTGCAATCATTCTTTCCCATGTGCACACCAGGCACCTGCCGTTTGCCAGCCTCTGCTGGTGTTGTCTTAGTTAGGGTTTCATTGCTGTCAAGAGACACCATGACCACAGCAAGTCTTATAAAGGAAAACATGTAACTGGGGCTGGCTTACAGTTTCAGAGGTCTAGGCCCTTGTCATCATGGTGGGAAGCATGGTCAGCGTGCGGGCAGACCTGGCACTAGAGAAGGAGCTGAGAGTTCTACATCTGGATCCACAGGGAGCAGGAGTGAAGACTATGTACCACACTGAGTGTAGCTTGAGCATATGAAATCTCAAAGTCCACCCCCACAATGACACACTTCCTCCAACAAGGCCACACCTCCTAATAGTGTTACTCCCTATAGGCCAAACTTTTGAACACAAGAGTCTGTGGGGGCCATACCTATTCTAACAACCACAGGTCGCATGGATGACTTAGATTTGTCTCCATCTCCAAGGAGCTCTGCTGTCAGTGGGTGCCCAGCTCATTCAAGTTCAGTTCCTAGTCCTATGTTCACTAGCTGTGTGACCTTAGGTAAGTCACTTAATGCCTCTGAGCCTCAGTTTTGCCAGCTGGGAAGTGGGGTGTTAGCACTAACCCAGCAGAGCAGTATGCAGTTCAACAAGGTCAGGGAGCCAGGAGCACAGTGCAAGATTCATGGTCAGGGTCCAATGGGAGGCAGAGGCAACATGAGGAGAGCTAGGGGCACCCCAGCAACCAGCTCTCCTGTGCCTTACTAATGACATTGGAAGCTTAACTCTCTTCTCTCCTATCATACTCAAATAGGTCTCGGTCAGACTGAACAAATCAAGCTCCCACTTGACATTTTCCTTGCAATTCCAACCTCCAGACGGCCTTGCCTTCCCACCCAGCTTACAGGTATGGATATTGCTCCTGAGATGACCTTGAACTGCCCCCCCAGGTGTCTCCTCATCGCTAGCTCACAAGAAGAGTGGATGGGAGAAGGGGATGAAGCCTTGGAGCTCCAACAGAACTGAGGCCAGATGGCAGGGGGCTTTCAGTCATTGCCTAGGCCAAGTAGTCTTTTACTTTGAGGTGTAAAGGCTTGGGTTTCTCCCTTAGACATGGAGAGACATCTAATTTTCCCCCCAACCTTGTCCTGTGTTGTTGTCTAGTTAAAGTCATGGTGTCTTACTTAGGGTCTCTATTGCTGTGAAGAGACACCATGACCATGGCAACTCCTATAAAGAAAAACATTTAATGGGGTAGCTTACAGAATTAAAAGTTTAGTCCATTCTCATCATGGTGGGACATGGTGGTGTCCAGGCAGACATGGTTGCTGGAGAAGGAGCTGAGAGTCCTACATCTTGATCCATAGACAACAGGAAGTGAACTGTCTACCTCACTGAGCATAGCTTGAGCATAGGAGACCTCAAGCCCACCCCCACAGTGAGACACTTCTTCCAACAAAGCCACACCTCCTAATAGTGCCACTCCCTGTGGGGGCCACTTCTTTCAAATCACCACACATGGAGTCCTTTGGAAAGGACTTTTGGGGCATAGGGTAATATTTGGTCCAGTGTGGGGTAGGAACACTGTCATGTTTTAGTCTATACTATCAAGGAGGAGCCCAGAAAGACTTCTAGATGTTAAACTGCACAAATTGGAAATATGAACTTGGTGGCTGGAGAGATGGCTCAGCAGTTAAGAGCACTGACTGCTCTTCCAGAGGACGTGGGCTCACTTCCCAGCACCCACATGACAGCTCACAGCTAACTACAGTTCCAGGTCCAGGTCCAGTGGAACAGCATGAGTGGGCAGCCTTTCATTCAGAGCCATTCACAAAGCCTGCTACGCTCCTGTGGGCTGAGGGTGGGTGTGCATGGAGGGGTGGAACAGTGGTACGTTCTGAGCTATGTGTGTTCAGGATGGACACTTCCCTCCCTCTCTCCTTTCCTTCCTTCCGTGTGTGTGTGTGTGTGTGTGTGTGTGTGTGTGTGTGTGTTTTAAAGACAGAAAGAATCTCACCTGTCCTAGGCTAGCCTTGAGCTTGTTATGCAGTTTAAGATGACTTTGAACTCTGGACCCTCCTGTGTCTCCCTCCAGAGTGCTGGGATCACAGTCATGCACCCCTAAACCCACTTTATGTACCCACCCCACTTCTCAGGGTCTTGGTGTATAGCCCAGGCTGACTTGAAATAAGTAATCCCCTTATCTCAAGCCCAGGTGCTGGAATTACAGGCGTGTGCCACCATACCTGGCTGAAGAACCAAGTTTTGCCCACGGGGAGCCACAATGACTGGTCTGGGACTGTACAGACTGCTGGGCTCCTGGGGAACTGGGGGAAATCAGAGGTGACTGGGGCGTGTTCTGGAAGCTCCTGGCCACAGTTACACATGGGAGTTCAAGTCATCCCTCTTTCTCTCCACTCGTCTCTCTTTTTGAGGCAAGGTCTCCCTTTGTGGCTCATGGGTCCTCCAACTCATGATCCTCCTACCTCAGTTTCCTAAGTGCTGGGGTGACAAGCATGTGCCAGCTTAGGTGTCCTCTGCTGCTTCCTCTGCTCTGTCAAATATTGACATGAGCGCTGGGCTAAGGATCAGCTAGGGCTCAGACTCAGAAGCTGGGGTTGGAGACCTTGGCCTGGTTTCTCCTATTTGTCATCAGGGAGCCCTTGGAGTTGCCCTGGGCTGGAGTGTCTCTTAGAAGGAGGTCATGCTCTTGCAGGCCTCTGCTGACCCTTCAGCTCTTCCAGCTTCCTGCCCTCTGCCTTCTCACAGGTGCAGGCTGCCACAGTATGTCACAAGGAACGCAGAGTGGACATGTCCCTGTCTGTGCATGTGTCTGGCCATGTGCTGCTTCTGCTAGGGGTGGACACTAGCAAGGAACGTAGGAGGAGCGGCCGGGGCTGGAACATGAATGTCTCCCTCCACCAGGCTGTCTTCAGCACCCCCAGAGCTCTTCAGCTACAGTTGTCCTCCATGGTCACCCCAGCAAGGTAACAGCCCCTGTGTGCCTTGAAAAAGCCTCAGGACCCCCAGGGATCTGGGCTAGTGTTCTGTTGGGAGAAGCCATCCCCACGGGCCCTGAGACCACCTGGATCAGTGTTGATGTGACATTCTTAGTAAGAAGGCTCTGAGAGGACAGGAAGGTAGTGTTAGCTATCGGCACACACTGTGGAAACTGAAGCAGGAGGATTGTGAGCTAAGTCCAGGCAGGAACGCAAAGAGAGACCCTGCCTCAAAAGAATAAACAAGTCACCAGACAGTTGCAGGAACTGCCCTGCTCCTGTCACCTCCTCTCTGATCATTCATTGGCATCCCAGAATGCCGCATTGTTGAGAACCTGGAGCTGGGGACTGGGTCAGACCAGGTCTGTTATTCCTTCCAGGATTTCCCTTCCCAGATGCTCAGCCATCTGTCTGATTATATCCTTATCCCCACCTATAAAGACTTGGGGCAAAATACTTTATCATTATCATCATCATTATTATTTTGAAATAGGGTCTCATTGTGTAGCCCTGGCTGTCCTGGAATTCACCCTGTAGACCAGGCTGGCCTCAACCTCACATAGGTCCACCTGCTTCTGCCTCACAAGTGCTGGGATTAAAGATGTGGTCACCACGCTGATTTGAGGCAGATTATTAAACATGAGTGCACATCTGTCATCTGTCACCACGACAGAGCCTGCTCTAGATCAGGACCTAGAAGGCCTCAATCGAGGTCTGGATGGTGAAGTTCTCAAGCATTGAGGCCATGTGGTGACAGGCTGAGAACACAGCAGTGTGGGCTGCTAGGAAACAGAGGGCAGGATCTCCATCCAGTAAAACCTGACTGCAAAAGCAGTGTGGGAAAACTGGTTTAGCAGCCTTGTTCTAGGTTAACAAATAACTGGCAAGGAGGGAAATGAAAAGCAGAAGGAAAGGGGGAGGCACTTAAGGTGACAAGGAAAACGCAAAGCCATAGGGTTTAGTGTGCTTTTAGTGTTGCTCTGGAGGTTGGCTCTGAGCTTCTAGTAGCCAGTGCAAAAGATAAAAACCAACCGATGTCTGTAGTAGCTCTAAGCACACATCCACACAGCTGTGTGCCTGTGCACCAGAGAAAACGTAGCCAGCTCAAATAGTCCACGTTCATTTAGCTGTAAACCACCTCACAGAAGAGGCATTGTAAAGATAAGCACCGACAGTAATATAAGCATAGGAGCTCCAGGCCAATTACTGCCACGTGCCTCCGTCTCCTCGCCAGGATGGTGGAGATTATGACGTGGTTAGCCCCCACAGGGCCCCGGGGAGGGGTCTGATAAGGTGCTTGGCAGTGACCGTGTATGAGGCAGTGCGTCATTAAGATGGATCTGTAACAGCACTGAAGCAGGGGTCAAAGTGTAGTGTTTGCTTGTAGCCTTTGCACAACCAGTTCCCATCTAACCCGTCACTTAGCCAGGTTGGGGACCACTGAGCTTCAGCCTCTTCTCCAGTTCATTTTATCAATCAAAGCCCATGTCCCAAGGCCTGCCTTGCTTGTCTCTTAATGGGAGAAGTGATGAGAGCCCCTTGAAAAGGAACATGGAGAGATGGCCTTCTGTTCACAGAAGGGTCCCGCAAGGGTTCATACCTGTCTGGGTTAGTATTTCCATCTGATTCCCTACTGGACAGTCAGAGAGGTCGCCATGTTGAGGGCACACAGCTAGAGAGTGGAGCCCCTGGGTTTGGAACCCAGGCTTGCCTGACTCCAAAGCCGGTGGTCTGGATGCCCAACTTCCCTGCCTCCCTTTGCATGAAGCCCTGGTACAGCACCCCTGCAATGGTCTCCCCGGGACCTCCAGGATTGGCCACCCATTTACCATCTCTGTGTTTGTTGCTTTTCCTGGTTCTGGAACAAAACAGCTGTGGGGAGCCCCTTGGAAGGTATTAATTTGGCTCAGCATTTGAGGGTGCAATCCACCAAAGAGGGAGCAGCCCAACGCTGTAGCAGGAGCATGAGGAGAATGGACAGGAAGTGGGATAAGCCCTCAATGACCCACTTCTCTGTCTCCCAAAGGCTCTGCAGTGCTCCCTAAACATCGCCTCCTGCTGGGGACCAAGTGTTCAGACATCTGAGCCTGCAGAAGACCATAACAGTATCACATTCTTCCTAGGGTACAGCTATTTTCCAAGGTGCTGGTGGACCAGGACTCAGCACAGTTGCTCCTCAAGACATCTGAGGGAAGACGGGGAAGATGGGGAGTCTGGGTCCTCAGCCTGTGGAGCATGGCCCAGCATTCAGTGGCTGGCTGGACAAAAGTGCCCCGTGTCCTTAACCTCAGGGTGTGCTAAAGCAGAAGATGACCTTCAGAGAGGGTGAGAGCTGAGAAACGCTGTGTCAGTCAGGGTCCTCTGGAGGGCCAGAGCCGATGGAGTGAGTGTGTGTGTATAGGGGGTTATTGGAGTGCCTCCCAGGCTGTGGTTCAGCTGGCCCAGCAATGGATGTCTACCAGCAGAAGGGCCAATATTCCAGAAACTGTTCAGTCCATGAGGCTATCCTGCAGTGAAGGAATGGGCATGCCATCTAGAGCGAGGGCAAGCCAGCAGAGAGCGAAAGCTTCATTTCCCATGTCCTTATGTAGACTGTCAGCAGAAGATGTGGCCCAGGTCAAAAGTTCTTCCCACTTCAAATGATTTAATTAAGTGTGTCCAGCCACGGGGTTTCAGTTAATTCCACATATAGCCATCACAGATGCCTGCGTCATCTTGGGTGGCTGCTTCCTGTGAACTCCCAGGGTAGATTGACTTCGACACCAAGAGAACTTGGCAAAGAGAGTCTCCTACTAACAACACTGCAGAGGCTCCCTCGTGCAGGACTTGTCAGCGCTGCTAACATTCAAACAAACAGTCCACCTCTAAAGAGGGCAGCTGGCACAGAGCCTCTCAGGCGTGCTGTCTAGAACAGACCAGCAGCACTTACCTGGGCCAGATACCCAGCTGAGGCGTGCTTGCTGCCAAGCTCGACAGAACTGAATTGATCCCCAGGATCCACATCTGCACTGTGGTTTGGGTCCCACTCCCATTTTTATTTTAAAAGAAACTCCTTACCCAAAATGCTTGGGATGGGAGTGCTTTTGTGTTTCAGAGTCTTTTGGGTTGGTATCTGCATAGAGTCTTAATCCTCAAATCCAAAGTGCTCCACAATGGAGTCAGTGCTTCAAGAGTTTTGGATTTTAGAACATTTTGGGTTTTCAGACTGAGGCTGTGTCATGTGGTTGTTTTGTTTTGTTTTCTGAGACAGGGTCTTGTGTAACCCAGGCTGTCCTCCAACTCTCTATGTTGCCAAAGATGAATTTAAACTCTTGATCCTCCTGTCTGTACCTCCTTAGTTCTGAGTTACAGAAGTGCACCACTATATCTGCTTTCCGTAGTGCTGGGGTTTGCACCTAGAACTCTGGGCATGCTCAGTGAACACTCTACCCATTATGCCCTGTCTTCAGCCCTCCATGGTGCTTTATCTATCTATATGTCTGTTTGTCTGTCTGTCTGTCAGTCTGTTTGTCTACTCTCTCTCTCTCCACATATATCTTGTTTTTTGAGACAGAGTTTCTTTGTTGTCTTAAAACTAGCTTTGTAGACCAGGCTGGACTTGAACTTACAGAGATCTGCCTGCCTGTGAGTGCCAGGATTAAAGGTGTGCGCCACCACTGCCCAGCAGTGCTTTTTATTTTGACCCACTTTCAATCTTCTGAAGCCAGATATGTGATTGTTAGGCCACATGACTGGCTATTCTGACATCATTGTAGACATCAGGGAAATTTTGGAAATGACACCAAGAATCTGACCTCCCTCTGCTAGTTGGAAACATTCTCGTTTGCTTTGTCATTCTCACATGAATGTGTGAGTAGTGTTTTACCTGCCCATCTGTCTCCTCACTACCATTACGCCACCTACTTCAAGTGTTCCCCCGTGCCACACACACTGGGGACCAAGTTTCTGAGCCTTGGGGAAGGGGGATGCCTGCGTTCCACACTCAAGCCAAAGCACAAACCCACCACAAGCACGAGTGGCTGTCCAGGTCCAGTGGTACACTCCTGTCGTCCAGTGCTTGGGAGCCTGAGGCAGCCTGACCTACATAGTGATGCCCTGTCTCAGAAACAAAGTAAACCAACAAAAGCTTCATTCCAGCCTTTTCCCTTTTCTTTCTGAAGACATTTTTAAAAATTTAAAGACTTTGTATGGGCGTTTTGCCTGCATGTACGTCAGCACCATGTGCATACAGTGTCTACAGAGGCCAGAAACTGGGGTCTTCTGGAGGAGTGGCCAGCACTCTTAACCACTGATCCATCTCAATAGCCCTCTCCTTCCCCCTTCTGTTTCCTTCCCAGACGGCAATGAGCCTCCATAGATTGGCATTTGTGTTCAGCCAGAACCCAGCTAGAATCCATGGCTTCAGAATTCTCCATAACACGTCTCAGGAAGTCAAGCTTAGTGGCCAGAAGTCAGCATCTCCCTTTCACGGCTGTAGGCACACACTCGAACAGAGGCCAAACAGTCAGCTGGGGCTCCTTCCTGCCCCGTCCTTGCAAGGGTCTACCTTTTTCTGAGATGGAATTTTGTTCCCAGGCTGTTTGTACTCTGCCTGTAGGTTTCAGCCCTCTGCATTTGACTCGGTGTTTTGATGGAGTGAAGCATTAACAGGCTTCTGTAGTCAGGGCTTCACAATAAGACACAACCTGAGTATGTTTGAACACAGTACCCTTCCTACAAAGTAAATGCGACCACAGCATCCTTCCCACAGAGCACTGGAGCCTAGGTTTCAAGACCCAAACTCTCTGCCCTTCTACAAGCCCTGGTGTGCTGTGCTTTGGTGTGGGCAGGGAGGGGATGGAAGATGTGTGCCACCACACCAGGGAAGGAAGTCGTGGCTTCATGGATGCAAGGCACTCTACCAAATGAGCCACATCCCCAACCTGTCTTTATTTAACTTAGTAATCGCAAAAGTAATTTTATTTAAATATCTAATTACTCCAACACTATTTATTGAAAAGTTTTTCTGGTCTCTACTGAATTACCTTTGAACCTTTGTCAAACATCTCAGCTAACCACACATGGGTTGTTCCCAGGCTGCGAACCTGAATTGGCTGGCCTTTTATTTTCAAGATTCTTATAGTGCCTGGCCCTTGCTATCCACATGTCAAGGGTAGAGATAAAGGCTCACATTTTTGTAATACAGATTTCTTTGTTACCTTTCTCATTGCTGTAATGAAACACCTGACAAAAACAATTTAAGGAGGGAAGGGTGTATTGGCCACAGTTTGCGGTTACAGCATCATGGCAGGAAAGGTGAGGGAGCAGGAAGCCGCTGGTCCCATTGCTTCCATAGTCTTTCTGTTTAGTCTAGGACCCCAGGCCAAGGGGTGGTGCTGCCTACAGTTAGGGTGGGTCTTCCCACATCCGTTTACCCAGCCTAGAAGCCCCCTGGCAGACACGCGCAGAGGTTGCCTCCTAGGCTCCTCGAGAGCCTGTGAGATGAACTGTCAGAGCATGGCAGCATGGTTTCCCTCAGAACACTGCGAGTTTGTGGGGGAGATGTTGGAAGACTCTGTGAGAAAGTTGTATCTGGAGATGCGTGGACCCTGCAATCATGCCGAGCTGTCCCAACAGCCCTGGGGGCCTCCAGGTGCAAGTCTTCCCTGCACAGGAGGCCCCTCAGAGCCACTACCCTAGCCTGTAACTCCAGGCTGCGCCTCCCAGAGCTCCCTTGCTGCCATGCTGCTGACCGTATGTCGGGCTGCCACAGCGAGCCTGTGGTGGGAATGGAGGGCAGGAGTCAGCAGACATCCAGGCTAGCTGCCTTCAGTCATGTCGGCCCTACCACAGTCCATTCTACATGTGTTGGCCTCACAGTGCCACAGATCTGGCAACTTCCCACCCAATATTCTGTTCCTCCCTTCCCTCCCCCACAGGTTCCGTTATGGTGGCCACTGACTCAGCCATGCTGAGCTTCCTCCTGCGGGATAAGCATGAGGAGACAGGGAACAGCAGTCTGCACAGCATGACCTGCACGGTCACTCAGAATTACAGCCAGGCCTTGCCGGCAGAGCTCCGGCTGAGAGGGCAGCAGCAGACCTACACTGGAGCCCTTGGGGGCCAGGCCAGCATCCACAGTGACTTGATCAGCCTGGCCTTGATGGGACCTGCACCTGGGATCTGGGGCATCGTCAGATTTCAGGCAACCTGACTCACAACTTGGGCCTGTTGGGTGATGCAGGTAGGAGGCTTCTCAGCTGTGTGGCTTCTCCCAGAGTCTGAGAGTCCAGAGCTGAGGGCAGGGGCAAAAAAGACCCCTGGAGCCCAAAGCTGTGGCTCCAGGCCTTTCTGCAACCTAGACTTGTGGAACAGCTCTGACCTCCTGTCCTAGTTCTGAGGGGCTGCTCTTTAGATGACTGGAGAGACCCAAGATGTCTCAGCAATGTGCAGATATACTGCCACCCCAGCCTCTTGTTACAAGACTGGAGCCTTTTTCTTAGTAACAGGGAGTCCACAGGGACAATGGTCTGACCCTAAATATGAATGGGAACCGCAGTGGATCAGATGAACTTAGCCCTTCTGAGGGATGGGAAAAGCCGTGAGTGACACACCTGGAGTCTTTGGGAACAGTGGGACTCTAGGAGTCTTGGCTCAGGAGCCCTGCAGAATTCCAGCTTCCATTCTGACACAGTAGGCTGGATTGGGCCCTTTTGATGGTCTCTGCTTCCAGTCACTATCATCTGTTCTGGTGTCTCACCTGCAGGACAGACCTCCAAGGCTGGGGTGCAAGTGACCAGTGCCCAGGAGTCCTCCAACCGCTCAGCACAGATGGGATTGTGGAGTGCAAACTGTCGCCTCAATGCCAGCCTTGACCCCTCAGGCCCCACCATGCCCAGTCACCATCATGGGGCCGTCCCCTCCTCCATACACGGCCACAGGCACATCCAGGTGAGTAAGAAGAGGACTGGGCTTTGGCTCACCCAGTGTGACAGAAATCAAAGGACCTTGTAGGTTAGACAAGTGAAATAGTTGTTTTTCTTGTTGCTGGGATACAGTACCTAGAAAAAGGTTTGTCTTGGCTCACAGTTTTAGGGCACAGTCCATGTGGTAGGAAGGGCATGGAGGCAGGAGCGTGAGGCATCTGCAGTCAGGAAGCAGAGAGAGGGGAATGGTGGTGTTCAGCTCCCGCCCTCCATTTGATTTGGTCCCGGAGTGTAGCCTAGGGAATGCTGCTGCCCAAATTCAGGCGGGTCCTCCCAGCTCAGCCTAATCTAGAAAATCCCTCAGGGACACACCCAGAGGGCTATCTGTTTGCTGTTCTACATCCTCGGAGGTTGGCAGTTGCTAGCAGCCATCACAAGGAAGATGCCCACAGTCATCCACTGCCACTCATATGATCACCATCACTGATATTGTCACTGTCACTCATATAGTTGTGAAGAGTGGAGCCAGGCTTATTATCCTAGCTACTTGGGAGGCTGAGGCAGGAGGATTGCAAGTTCAAAGCCAGCTTGGGCAACTTAGTGAGACCCTGTCTCAAGAAGAAAAAAAATATTTTTCAAGACAGGGTTTCTCTGGGTAGCCTCCTCTGTCCTGGCACTCATTCTGTAGACCAGGCTGGCTGGCTGGGAGATCCTCCTGCCTCTGTCTCCCAAGTTCAGCAGCTTCAAGGAGGGAGACTGACTTTGGCTTACAGTTCATTGTGACGGGGAAGTCAAGGCAGCAGCAGCTCACAGTAGCTGCTCACATCACAAGCCCAGTCCGGAAGCAGAGTGAGATGTATTCCGGCTTTCAGCTCACTTTCTCCTTTTTTTTTCCCCCCCGTCAGGGTGGTGGGGGATGGTGCTGCCCACATTCAGGGTGGATCTTCCCACCTCAGTTTCTACAAAGTTTCTCAGAGGCATGTGCACAGAGGCATGTGCACGTACCAACACCACCCAGCTCAAGAAGAAAATTGAAAAGATGGCTATAGTTGTGACTCCAGTGATAGAATGCTTACCTAACTTGTGTGAGGTCCTGGATCCAATCCCTACACACACACACTCACTCACACATACACACAGTCACCTTTGTGCCTGTCACAGACTGACCAAACCATCATGGAGAGCATGTAGATTTCTATGCCTTTTTCCCCATCTGCAAGGTGAGCTATTAACAGTCACTGAACCTTCTAGAACAGTACCTAGTGTCAGAACACACAGATGCTTCCTTTGGGGTCCGGTTAGGGAAGAAATATCCACTTCCCACCGGCTGTCTCCCCGAGTCTCCTGCAGTGGAGACACCTCTTCTGCTCAGCTCCAGGTACCAGGGCTCTGACTGGGTAGGGTGGTGAGTCATGGAGACCTACCAGGGAGTAACACTGCATGACACTGGGCACTTCTGGCAGTATCGGCTGGGGCTGAAGCCTACTTGAACTGACCCTTGTGGTCCTTGTCCCCAGTCCCTTCCTTACCCTGTGACATGCTCTGGTCTCCAGCTCCACATGGCCTTGGTTCCTCTTAGTGATCCATTAACTATCCCTTTGCAGTTGGACATCAGCCCAGAACCTAAGAGGTTCTCTCCAGCCTCTGCCATGGCAGCCAGGGTAGTGGGCACTCTAAGCATCATGGGTCAGGTAGACTCCAGGGGTCTGCTAATTCTGAGCTACCTTGACTGGGTGCAGATGAGGAACTGATTTCCTACAGATTAATGTGTTGAATGTAGGGCAGTGTCTGCCCTGTCCAAGCTCCAGGACCCAGGCTGAGGGGGGAACTGCACACAGGACCCACAGTTGGGACTGCCGCCAACCTTGTGCGAGCTCTCCAGGGAAACTGGCTACAGGCCTACCCAGGCTTCAGTGGCTGTGTGGGTTTGTCCCACTGGATGTGGTTCTGAGGGACACATGAGGAGTGGGAAACAGAGGCACCTCTGTCCTTGCATAACCATTCTCCCTGACCATACAGCCCACCGAAGGAGGCTGCAGAGGCCTGGCAGGCGGCCCAGGATGGAGACATTCCAGCAGAGCTGGTCACACCTTGGGGCCTCAGAAGCCGGGGCAGCACTGTGGGGTTGGGTACAAGATAGGACCCAGTGGAGGGGGGCTTCCTGTGGCACCCTGATGAGTGACACCACTCTATCCAAGCACACCCACAAGCTAAACATCTTCTGAGATTGAGTTTTTAAAAGTGTGAGTCTGAGGCAGGGGAATTGGTAGAGTGGTAAAGAATACCTGTTGCTCTTGTAGAGGACTCCGTCAGCTCCCAGCACTCACACGGCAGCTCAGAGCCATCTGTAACTCCAGGGCTCCAGCACCTTCTAACCCCAGGCACTGCACATGTGTGATACACAGACATACATACAAACAAAACATCCATATACATAAAATAATAGTTTTTAAAATGTAACTCTGGTCTGGCCGGTTTGGGGCAGCTTGAGACTATGTGCCTGGGTAAACCAACTATCCTGATCTACAGCCAACACTGCAGACAGCTATGGCCAGGGGTGCCCACCTTAACCCTAATCCTCATCTCTTTTTCAGTAATGGGGGTTGAGATTTTACCTAAGGCCAGAGACAGCTGCAGGGGGGCAGGGGGGAGCAATGCGCTACAGAAAAGGCCAGCAGGCTTCTCCACAGAGGAGATAAGATGGGAAAACCTGCCAGGTGTGGCAGTGCACGCCTTTAACCCCAGCCCTTGGAGGCAGAGGCAGGTGGCTCTCTGTGAGTCTGAGGCCAGCCTGGGTTACAGAGTGAGTTCCAGGACAGCCAGGGCTACATAAAGAGACCCTGCCTCAAAAAAGAAGAAAGAAGGGGGAGGAGGAGGAAGAAAACCTATAGGCCTTGGGAGTCTCCCATAGGGGATAGCAACCATTGACAGTAGTTGATGAAGGAGCAGAGCCATGTTCTAATAAGACTTTATTAACAAGAACAGATGCACGATCTGAGCAGCCCTAGGTTTGTGACCCTGTTTCCCACCATTAGGACGTCTTCACCTTCTCAGGCTCACTCTGGCTGTGCTCCTTGGGTCCCTCCCTGGAACACTCTCTGTACCCTGCTTCACTGATGGAAACCTGTATGACTTCAGGCCTGGGGCTCTGGGGTGTGGCCAGCTTGGAATGGTCTGTCCCTACCATGTCCCCGCAGGTCTCCGTGGACACTTGTGATGGTGCTGCCAGCTTTGAGCACTCCAAACGTATCTCAACAGGCCCTCTATCCATCAACTGCTCTATAAACTACTGGGCCCATGACGGCCGTCTGGAGCTATGGGGCCACTGCCAACACAACAGTGAGGTCCTGTTGCAGGCCGGACTGCCAGATGAAAACAACATGCAAGCTGAGCTACAGATACAGGGTGAGCTTAGATCCAGAGGGCAGTATTGAAGTTTTCTTGTCTGCCAGGCTGCCCTTGAGCCCCAAATAAACATGTGGACACTATATTAATTATTAAACTGTTGGCCAATGTCTAGGGCTTCTTATTGGCTAGCTCTCTCTTAATTATTAACCCATAACTACTAATCTGTGTATTTCTACATGGACTTGTCTTACCAGAGAATACCTGGAGCATCCTGTCTTCCTGGGCTCTACATGGAGTCTCTTCTTGGTAGGCTCTCCCTGCCTACCTTTTCCAGAATTCTCATCTCCTAGCCATGCCTATCTTCCTGCCTCTACTGACTATAGGCCAAACAGTGCTTTATTCTTCAACCAATAAGAGAAACATATGTACAGAAGAACAGTCCCCATCAGGGCATCCCCTGGGCCCAGATCTAGTCCCAGCCTTGACCCAGGAAACCCTAGCTGGCTCTGGGCTCTAGGACTGACCAAGATAGCCTGATCCTCCACAGGCTACCCCTTAGAGATACACAATTTCCCAAAATGGGGGGGGGGCTAGAAACTGCAGGAGTTTTACTCTGAATTCTGGCCAGGCATCTAAAATCACAATACAGGTGGCCTGGTCTCCCTCCAGCCGTCCCAAGGGACTTCTGCTGGCAGGATGTCCCCTGGCTACACAGATCACTCCGGCCTGTCCTCTGTCTGCATGGGACCACCAACTTTCCGCGTCTGTCTGTTCTCCTGCAAGGACACCAGGACTGGTTTTGGATCCCAGCACCTCCATTGTCACCTTTTTGTTTTATTTAGTCACACCTGTAAAGCCCACTTTCTGAGGTCACACTCACAGATAGGAGAGGTAAGACTTTAGAGTGCAGACACAGTTCCACCCATGACTGAGAGGAGGAGAAGGCTGGAGTCGGCAGTGGCCGTGCACTTCCAGCCAGGCCAGCCTGCTGCCACATGCCAGTGCCCCGTGACTGACTGCACAGCTCTCCTGGTCCCTGGAAGTCAGCTCTGGAAGGGCCACTGTGAGAGTGATAACAGCAGCTTCAAGGAGGGAGACTGACTTTGGCTTACAGTTCATTGTGATGGGGAAGTCAAGGCAGCAGGAGCTCACAGTAGCTGCTCACATCACAAGCCCAGTCCGGAAGCAGAGTGAGATGTATTCCGGCTTTCAGCTCACTTTCTCCTTTTTTTTCCTGTCAGGGTGATGGGGGATGGTGCTGCCCACATTCAGGGTGGATCTTCCCACCTCAGGTACCAGTTCTACGAAGTTTCTCGGAGACATGTGCACAGACTGAGGTCTTTGGTAATGCTAGATCCTGTCAAGTTGACAACCAATATTAACCATCAGAGCCTCAGAGCACCACCCCACCCCACCCCACCCCACCCCACCCCACCCCACCCCACCCCACCCTACCCTTCAAGTTCTTCGCAGCTGGCTTATAATGAAGCCAGGCCTTGAACTCTGATTCCAGAGTCTGACTTTACATTCTGTCTGTCCTCCAGATAGATGCAGGCTCTGGCTCTGGACTACTCTGGACACTGGGTGGTTTCCCTATCATCTGGATCATTTTCCTCTGACCTCAAATGTTTCCATCTTGGTCATTCAGCCTCCTGGGGGTGTGGTAAATGGGGACTTTGCTCACACTGGGGCCTCAGGTCACTCATGAGAAGGCATTGGGCTTGCTGGGGATTATACTAGTTCCTAGCCCCCAGAGAGCCCCCTCCCTTCCTCCATTGCTCTCTATGCCTAACTGTCCCAGCCCACAATGACACTTCCTGTTCAGTGTTAGCTGTCATGGTGTCCCTGACAGCCAGGAGTCCCCAAGCATAAGATCCACATCCCCTCCCCTTACTATAAACATAGTAGATGTGTGTGATTGACTACTGGATGATGCAAGACGAAAATGGATGTTTTCTAACCCAGTACACTCCCATCTCCAGCTCCTCTGGGGTGACGTCACCTGGGTGCTGTCTTGAGGTGGGTGGGCTGCAACCATTTTACAGATGAGGAAATCAAGATTTGGGCTTCAAGGCACTGGCTATCCCCTGGGCTCAGACCTAAGCTGTGAGCCTCACCTAGTATGACACACAGTAGGAACCACTTACTCCTAGGCTCCTAGCTCTGTCAGTCATTTTCCATACGTAGCATGGGGGTGTGAGCTCTTGGACCTGCCTGTTCTGGAGGGACTGTGTGTGACAGCCATGGAGAGGTGACCCAATTTGGGGCAAAAGTTGCCAGAGCTGTCCACATGGCAGAAGGCGTGGATGCTGCAGCCTGGGCCAGGTCTTTGGTGACCTGTGAGTCCTTCACTGAAGAAGAGCTGCTGGTATCTGGTCAATGCCACTTTCAGGACAAACCATTCTCTCTTCTGCGAGTTTACTCGACAGGTGTTTCTGAGTGCCTGCTAGGCCAACAGCTGTACCCGCCAGCACTGCAGAGCACAGATAATGCCTGCCTAGGCTGTTGTCCCCATGGGCCACAAGTTGCTGTGCCTTGTGATATGATGAAGACGCCCAGCCATGAGGGTGGCAGGCAGGAATGGGGTGGGGCTTCTCAGAGGAGGGTCCGGGGATGTCTTGTGATGGATGATATCATGGAGGCTTGGGAAGGTGAGCAGCTGGTCTGAGGTCAGCCGATGATCCCTCCAGGCCTGCATGGTAGCCTTTCTGCCAGTGTGCATGGGTTGCAGCGTGTCCTTGTTGCAGTCTCCATTGCTCTCCTCTCCAGGGAGGGAGGGGAGTTCAAGTTCTCACAGTTCTTGCCACTCTGTCTTTAGAGACCAAGACTTGGGCTCACATGGTCCTCCGCGGCAGGGACGGCAAGGTGAGTGTGGATGTGGCAGCCCTGCTGGCTTGGCTGCCAGATGGCACACTGGAGGCGACAGTGAACACCAGCCACACGGTGCATGCTTTCCAGAGACTGGGCCTGCCCTCCAGCAGCCAGGTGAGGGGCCACAGGGCCAGCCCGCCACTCTCCAAATGTGTTACCCCTCATCCAGGTCCCCATGTGCCGAGCAGAGGACAGACAAGCCGTCACAGCACTTTGTAGTTTGCAGAGGGTCTTTAAACAAGCAGACAAACAAATAAAAAAGTTGTAGCCTGGTTGTGGTGGTGCACGCCTTTAATCCCAGTACTCGGGAGGCAGAGGCAGGAGGATCACAAATTCAAGGCCAGCCTGGTCCACAGAGCATGTTCCAGGGCTACACTGAGAAACCCTGTCTCAGAAAAACAGACAGTTGTAGCCAATTGCCTACGAAGCAAACTCTTCCTGCCACAGGCCTCGTGCCCTACCTACAACCATGGTTCTAGCTACTCTCTGCCTGTCCAGTAATGAATCAGAGCTGAAGTCCAGCTTCGTTTTTGCTGAGGAGATAAGGCTCAGTGTTATGAGCTTTGCTTAGTGCTCTGGGCTCAGTACTCGGTGCTAAGAGCAGAACTCGGGCTGTCCCACGCTTTTCGTCCTTCTGACACCCGCTGCGGTGCAGGACAGCACATCCTGTGAACACCACCTCCAGTCAACCCAGCTCTGTCACCCCAGCTGTGTGACCTTGAGTTTGCCCTCTCTGTGCCCCCAGTCTCCTCATGTGTGAATAGTAATACTCCTGTTGCGTGGAGCTGTGCAGATCCGTGTTGTTAGCTGAGGGTGCTGCGACACCATTGGCTGTGAAAATGCGGGTCACACACGCGGTTTAGGTGACTTGCTCAAATTCATGTGGCAAGCAGGCAGTGCAATGAGGACTCAACCTTGTGTTTCTGTGGTCCCCACTGCATGGGGCTGCACCCTGGTCCTGTCTCTTCCAGCCTCTGTGCCTTGTCCCCGTGTCAACGCCCACAGCCATTGCTGTCTGTTCTACAATTCTGCTGAGAAAGGAGAGGCAGCTCCTGGTGTCCCCCAAAACAGAGAATACCAGACTCCCCTTATCCCCAGTCCATTTGGTTCTGAGCCCTGCCCATGAGCCCCGTGTCCAGGGACAGCCAGGAGTCAGGGCCTGCATGCTTGCAGACTGAGCAGATTTTGTTCTGGGGCTACAGGTCACATAGCCGTCTCTACCGATATCTAGGGCCCTCAGCACCCCGACAGTATGTGTCTTGTTTTCTCTCCCACCCCTACTCAGCTACTATTCCAAGAATACTGGACCACGGAAGACATGAGTTCCTCACTGCAAATCACTTGCGACACCCAAGATATTCTGTCCCTCCATGTCCGTGGCCAGAACCGTGCCAACAGGTGGGAGCTCTTGATGGTTCTGGGGGCTGCCTAGGAGAAGGGGAACTGGAGGCATCTGGCATCTGGACCCTGCTGGGCCTCAATGAGACATGGCAACGATCACAACCCACTGAGATTACAGAGGCATAGAGGCTTAGAGAGGCATAGTAGCTTTGTCAAGGTCACCAAGCTCTTAAAAATTCCCTGACCTCTGGGACAGCATGCATAAGTACACACACACACACACACACACTTTCTCTATTACCAGCCACTGGTCTTGGTGGAACTCTCTTGGGGCTTGGGACGCTTTTCTGTTAAGAAGGGTGTGGGTTACCAGCTCCCCTTCTTGAACTCAGTCCCCACTTGTTAAAGGTGCGCCCTATGGCTCTCACCTGGGTGAGGCTGTGCAGTGCCTGGGGAAATTTCTGATTGCTGGGCCAGGAGAGGAAGACTGCTAAACACCCTTGGGTGCATAGAACAACCCCAACTGCAGAGACCGCGGCCCCATGTATAAGCCACTGGTGGGGGGGCTAGCGGAGGGTTCCTGGGAGGAGGCTGGGAGGCCTGTTGCCTGTTGCCCACACCCCAGAGGGCTCCTGCTATGCAAACCTAAGAGTTTGGGCAGAGCCAATTCTAGATTAAGGGTGTGGGACAAGAAACAGGGCCGGAGCTAGGTGGAACCTGCGTTGGGACCCATGACCCAGTGCCCTGGTGACTGTGACCACACTTGGATGGACGGCTCACATTTGGGGCCCCTGACCCCCTCTCCCGGGGTAGTGCTGAGCCGGATGCCCTCACGCCAGCTCCGCCCTCTCTTTCCTTGCTTCCAGCAAAGAGCTGCTGCTGTGGGGTGGGCACCACCTCCCTGCTCTCCTGGACTGCTGTCCCCACTCAGTCTCTGCCACAGCCAAGGTAACTGCCCTAGCACCCCCGGCTTCTAAGTAGCTCCAGACACTGCCAGAGGCAGTCCTGTGCATCCTGGGCAGCTGGGTGTGTGTACGCCCTTGTCTGTCAGAGGCCTTCAGTGGGCCCCATGGGCCACCCCCAAAACTCAAGCATTGACTTTCCCAAACATCCCGATGTTTACATTCCAGAGGGGCTCCCCTGGAGCTGGGAGGTCTGTCCACCCTGGCACCTGATGCCTGACACCACCCCCCAACCTGGTGTGCCCCCACCAGCTGCAGCAGATGCCTGGCCCTTGAACAGAGCTGACTCCACCACCACACCCTGAATGCATTACAGGGAGGCCTGGGTAGACAGGATGACTTGTTAGATCATGGCTGAAGGCTACCTCTGCATTGTCACTGTTCGTGTCCTTGTCTGTCTCTGAGTCCCCAAATAAGGAGCTCCTACAGAGAATGCCTACTCTTGCCACAGGGACCAATACAGAATAGCTGCTTGGTAAAGAATGAATGATTAGGTCTGCCAACTAGCTAGTACCTCCCCTCCCCTCCCCTCCTCTTCCCTCTTCTATTCTCCCTGTTGCCTTCCCCTTTGTCTTGCTATAATGTCCTGTGCTACACCCGACCCAGAGCTTTGTGCACGCTAGCCAAGCTCTCTACCACTGAGCTACACAGCTCCTACCTCAATCCCCGGCCGCTGCATTTTCATACTAGCCACAGACTTCATCCAAAGCCCTCCTGATCATACTGTTGGACACCCACATGTGACTAGCCCCAACATCCCATAAGCCAGGCGTGGTGGCACACACCTGTAACCTCCACGATAGGGAGGTAGAAGTGAGAGGAGCAGAAGGTCAAGGTCAATCTCAACAACATAGTTCATTATGGGCCAGCCTGGGCTACATGAGACCTGTCTCAATCAACAACAAAGAAGTCACCATGAGACAGAGCAGACTACACATTTTCAGTGTAATTGAGTTAACAAGGCTATGTCTTTACTCCTAAAGACCTCAAGTGTTTTGTAGAACAAGGATTTTTATATAACACAGTATAATTACAAAAATCAGGATGTTTATTTCCTTAGAGACCTGGTCTTATGTAGCTCAGGCTAGAACTTCCTTTTTATCTGAGTGCTTTTTTGAATTTGAGATGTTCAGATGAATATAAGTGTACACCCCCATACCTAGATTATGCAGTTCTGGGGATTAGGGTTTCTATAGCTGTGAAGAGACACCATGACCACAGCAACTCTTATAAAGGAAAACATTTAATTGGGGATTTCTAATAGGTTCAGAGGTTTAGTTCATTATCATCATTATCACCTACTAACTGAACTACATCCATAGCTCCATTCTTAAAAATTTGAGACAGTCTGTTTATGCAGCCGAGGCTGGTCTTGAACTCACTGTCTTAGTTAGGATTTCTTGCTTTGAAGAGACACCATAACCATGGCAGTTCTTATAAAGGAAAACTTTTAATTAGGGACTGACTTGCAGTTCAGAGGTTTAGTCCATTGTTATAATGGTGGGAAATACTGTGGCATGCAGGAGGACATGGAGAAGGAGCTGGGAGTTCCACATCTGGATCTGAAGGCAGCAGCAAGCGAGAGTGACACTGGGACTGGCTTGAGCATCTGAAACCTCAGAGCCCACACACTTCCTCCAACAAGGCCACACCTCTTAATGGTACCAATCCCAAAGAGCCTATTGGGGGCCATTTTCATTTAAAGCCCCACATTCCACTCCCTGGCTCCCATAGATTGGTAGCCATATTATAATGCAAGACAGCATTCAATCTAACTTCAAAAGTCCCCATAGTCTATCACAGTCTCAACAAAGTTTAAAAGTCCAAAGTCTCTTCTGAGATTCTCGAAATCTTTCACTGTAATCCTGTATAAAATCAAAATGAAAAAGCAGATCACATCCTTCCAACATACAATGGCACAGGATATACATTACCATTCCAAAAGGGAGGAAAGGGAGCATAATGAGGAAATACTGAACTAAAGCAAGACTGAAAAACAGCTGGGCAAACTCCAAACTCTGCATCTCCATGTCTGATGTGAAAACGCTCTTCAGATCTTTAACTCCTTTCAGCTTTGTTGACTACAACACACTTCTTTCTCTTGGGCTGGGTCCACTCCCTGTTAGCAGCTCTCCTCAGCAGGTATCCCACAACTCCATCATCTCCAACATCTTGGGGTCTCCAACACAACCCAGGCTTCACCTTCACAGCTTCACACAATGGCTCTCTAGGCCTCCATGCAGGGACACCCCTGACACAGGCCTGGCCTTGGCAGCTCTCCTTAGCTATGGTGGAAGATTCCATAACCCCTTTTTTGTATCCTTGACTCTAAAAAGTCAGAACCACATGGCCGAAGCTGCCAAGTTCTGCTTCTTGCTTGGGGCTGGAACATGGCCCCCTTTTCAAACACATTTTCATCAGTTTTCTGTTTTGATTATCTCCTTCATTGTCAAAGCTTGGCTGTCCTAAAACTAGCTCTGTAGACCAGGCTGACTCAGAGATCTGCCAGCCTCTGCCTTCTGAGTGCTGGGATTAAAGATATGCACCACATGCCTGGCCCTAAGATTTTCTTTAATTCCTTTTCACAAGTTAGAGCTTAGTTTGGTGGGGTCTTGCTCATGATTTCACTTAGCATTGGATTTTTCTTTAATGTTTACCTCCTGGAGCTCCTTTTCCCCTCCAACTGTACATTTTGTAAATTTCCATGCTCAGCTTGCTCCTTTTCATTATAGACCTGTGTAAGATGGGCCACTAACCAGGTGGTGGTGGCACACTCATTTAATCACATCGCTTAGAAGACAGAGGCAGGTGGATCACTGTGAGTTTGAGGCCAGTCTGGTCTACAGAGTGAGTTCCAGGATATCCAGGATGACAAAGAGAAATCCTATCTCAAAACAAAACAAAACAAAACAAAACAAAACAAAACAAAACAAAACAGAAAGACTGGCCACTAATAACCACCCAGTACAGTCAGGATGTCTGGAAATCTCCTCTGTCGAAGCTGTTAATCCATAACTCTTCAATTTAGCCTCAGGCAGACTTTTAGGAAAAGGGCAAAATTCAGTCATATTCTTCACCAAAGTACCACCACATATTAATATTCTTCTCCTCTGAAACCTCTTGAGCCAGGGCCCCCATAGTTCAAATCACCTTCAGCACCACTGTCGTCCATGCTCCTACTAGTATGGCCCGTTAAGGCCTGTTTAAAGTACCCAGTAGGTTTTCTAGTCCTAAATTCCAATGTGTTTCATATTACTAGTCTGGTCTATGGCAGTAATACCACACTCCTGTTATCAATTTTGTCTTAGGATTTCTATTTCTGTGAAGAGATACCATGACCGTGGCAACTCTTATAAGGGAAAACATTTAATGGGGGCTGGCTTACAGTTCAGAGGTTTAATCCGTTGTTATTATGATGGGAAACATGGTGGTATGCAGGCAGATATAGTGCTGGAGAAGGAGCTACATCCAGATCCGACAGCAGGAAGAGAGTGGCATTGGGCCAGGCTTGAGCATCTGAACCTCAAAGCCCACCCTCACAGTGACACACTTCCTCCATCAGGGCCACACCTACTCCAACAAGGCCACATCCTCTCATAGTGCCACTCCCTATGAACCTATCAGGGTTGTTTTCTTTCAAACCATCACACTCACTATGTAGTCCACAATGACCTTGAACTCACCACCACTCTCTCCTACTTTCCCTATCTCAGATTCCCCAAGTACATGGCGACAGGCCCATGTCGCCAGGCGTGGTACAAACTTGAATGCTGAAATAACACTTGGATAATAAAATTCCCAACTGTTCAGTAAGGCCTCTTAAATGTTTAGTCCTGGGTTTAAACCCATGGCAGGACCCAGAGCTGCACAGGATGCTCTGTACTATACCACTTTTACTTTGTTATCCTTGAACAGAAGTCTGAAAACTTGGCTGAAAAAGCCAGAAAGCAAATGCAGGGAATCTTCTACTTCTCTGTGTAACCTGACTTTTTATTATTGTTTTAAATTTTTATGTGTATGTCTGTATGTATTGCTATGTGCATGTGGGTGTAGGTGCCTGCAGAGGCCAAAAGTGGGCATCAGATCCCCTGGAGTGACAGGCTAGAAGCTACTCCACAGGGTTTGAGAACCAAACCTGGGTCCTGTGGAAGAGCAGTATGCATTCTTAACTGCTGAGTCGTCTCTCCAGCCACCAATGTTTTCCTATGAAACTTTTAAGATACAAAACAGTTAAATTTTCACCACCCTCCTCTATACCCACTGCCTAGATTTTCCCTTTCATCTTTCACCACTAAATTTCTTTAAAAATCCTCATGTTGCTACCTTGACATGTCCACGCAGTCAGTTCACAGAACATCCTTGTTTGTGTCTTTGGATTGTTTGTACCAGGCGAGGCTTAGCTTGAACATGCCGACACTGCCTCTCAGCCTATTGAAAGTGCCATTTTCTTAAATTCCGGTTCTTACTTTCTCTTATTATTTTGTGTGTTGTTGGTGTTTTGCCTGCAGCATATGATGTATATCTGGGCATCATATGAATGTTTGGTGCCTTCAGAAGCCAGAAAAGGTCATGGGTTCTCAGGGACCAGAGCTACTGACAGATATGAGCCACTAAGAGTGCTTGGGACTCAAACCCAAGTCTCTGGAAGGGTAGCCAGTGCTCTTAACCCAGTAATAACAGCTAGATTTGGAGAGGAATGAAGACAATGTTGACACCAAAATATGAGCACCAATTCTTGTCCCTTTCCCCAAGCCTTTGTGACTCTTCCCTGGGAGACTGGATATATACTAAATGACAGAGTTATTCCACCAGCCCAGAAGGTGGCACATCATTTCATACAATTTTCATGCCAATTCATTTAAAAAGCAAGCATCCTTATCCTTATCCATAAGATTAAAAGGCCAAGGCTCTGGAAACCAAGGACCTAACTGTCACTAACTCAACCCAGGCCTAGGAGAGCCAGCCTGGAGCCTGGTCTACCACTCTGAGGCATTGTCCTTGTGCAGCACTGCCCTCTGTGGTCACAAGCGATACCACAACTAGATTCTTGTTGGCTGTTTTTGAGCTAGTATCTATCTGTATCACTGTTACAGCCCAAGAGCATAAAGAGTGCGGCCAGCATCGCACCTCAGGGCCTGCCTAGACACAAGACCCTTATTTCATCAGATTGTTCATCTCAGGTAGCTGTAGGTCCCTTTCTGGGGCTCTGGGAGCAGAGTCTGGAGCCAAGCATCATCTGACTGAGGTCTGACGGTTTCTCCGCTGCACTTTTCCCTTCACCAGCTCCGGTACTCCAAGGATGAGACCCAAAGCACCTTTGTACTAGAGATGGAAGAGCGCCGTTTCCATGTCAGTGCCGGTCTACTGGATGCTAAGGATGGCCTAGCCAGCGTCATCCGGCTGCAACAGACCTTCCCCCAGGTGCCTAGGTCCTCAGAAAAGGGGAGTTGTGCTTGAGGCTTAGCTTAGGCCCCAGCGCAGCTAGGCTCTGAGGGGGGCAAACTGACTGTAAGGGACTCTTGGCTGTGTGTCTCATCTTCATTCTTCATTGATCATCTCCTAATCCTAGGCATTGTTCCAGGAAGAAGCACAGGACAGAACTGGTGGGCCCTGACTGTCATTGAATACATAATCTAGTTGAGGCAGGTGACAAAAGCCACATAAAGAAACCATATATATGATTATGGGGTCAGGAGGTGTCACCTGAGGAGGTGACACTTGAGCCAATCCTATGTCTGGGGAAAGAGCATCCTATGCTAAGCACCTGGGGTAGGGATCACTCTGAGAACTGGCTAGGGGCCCCGGGCCGGGACAGGTTAGATAGGGATGGCAGGAGGAAGTTCAGTCTGCAGATGCGGGCCCGTCAGCCCACCCAGGCTGGAGTCTCCACTACAACCACCTTCCTTCCAGGCCCTGGAAGGAATGCACCACCTCACCCTCTCCCTCCGTGCTGTCTGCTCACACTTAGGATGTATTTAGCACTGTGGTCCTGACCACACACAGCTTCTTTTCCTTTCTGGACCTGTCTTCCCCTCTCCACCCCAGGCTGGTGTATGGCTTGGCTCCAAGAGGCCATGCACTGGCTATCCTATTGTTTTCCAGCTCAGCACCCTTCCCCCAGAGCTGGCCCTGAGGACCGTGTTCCAGAGGACACGAGGCACCCACATCCTGCACCAGGTGGTGCAATGGAATGGCAGGGAGGCAGCCCTCAATGGGAGCCTCTCCGGGGCCCACTCAGAGCTCTTGGGTGATGTCCGTCTTCAGGGTAAGTGACTGAGCAGGCGGAGGCATGGGGTTAGGGGTGCTCTCACTTGCCATGGGTGAGTGCCTGCTTGTCCTTGGTGCTATTCTAGGCCCCAGGGAATCCTCAGGACACAAGATAGCCAAGGCTCAGCCCTCAGAGGGGAAAGGCAGAGAGCTAGGAACCCCCATGTCAGCAAAATCACAGAGCGCGTAGGGATCCCCAGCACCTTAAAAAACAGTGTTTATGGGGGGTATGACTGAAGTCTCAACTTCCAGGAAGTAAAGGCCAGAAGGTCAGGAGTTCAAGGTCATTCTCAGCTATATAAAACCTTGTCTCAAGTAAATCAAAATTAAAAACAAAAGCAAATCGGCTTGGTGGGTAAAGCGCTTGTCATTAACCCTGACAGCCTGAGCTGGGCCCACATACTGAAGGAGACAATCTCGCACACATGCAGTGAAGTGTGTATGTTCATGTGCACATACAAATAAATAATGAAAGTCCCTTGTCCTCAATGAAACAAAGTGCCTTAAAGTGGTCAGAGGAGCAGCAGGGAGGCCCCTGGTAGGCTTTATGGTCTCAAGGTCACAGCCACTAAGGGGAAGGGCTCTGGACCTCTGCTGATCTCAGCACCCTCTGGCTGTCACCTGAAGCCTGGTTTGAAGCCATCAACAGTCAGCCAGGGTGTGCCCCATGGTGACTGCTCAGGGGTCAGGAGAGGAAGTGACAACAGACCCCTGAAGACCATGACTTGGATGTGGTGCCCTGTTGGCCTCAAGGAAGAGTGGCATGGCCTGAGGCCCCTGGCTGGGGCTCGGAGGTGACTCTGAGCTGGTGTGGGTTGGCTGCTCAGTGCGATTGGGATAGGAGGAAAAAAGAACAGAGTTCCCATGGGGACAGTTAGGATGCTTTAAGTAACACTGGGACCGAACATGTGGCTTCCAAGTTCTGTAGAGTGGGTGAGAACGTGGCCACCTGCTTGAATGGTTTTGTTATCAGCTGAGTCCCCGAACCAGTCTCCCGCTGTGACCTTACCACACAGCTGTGACCTCACTGCCACCCTCTCCACTCGTGTCCCCCACAGTGGAGCTCTCCCACCGGCTGACTGTGTCCCTGCCACGTCACTGCAGCCTCCACCTGTCCTTGGAGTACTCAAGAGACAGCCACCGTGGTGACCTGTCTGTGGCCTGGGACAATCAAGACCAGGTAGGACTGGCAGGAGACCCTGGGAGGGGCGCGCCTTGCTCAGGGGCCTGATGGGAGTCAGTCAGCTGCGCTAGGTGCCCAAAAGTGGGGTCAGAGGACCTGGGTTTCAGTCCCTCAGGAGGAGCACAGCTTGTTTTCAGAACCTGAGACTGAGCACAGAGAGCTGCTGTCACTCCTCTGGGGTCACAGCCAGGGTGGTGCCTGTCTTTAGCCACTCCCCCAGGCATGCAGCTGTTGTACCAAGTCTCCCCAGCCTCAGGCTCCTTCCCTGTAAATGGGAGGGAAGGGCGTGTCAAGGAAGGGCGTGGCTCAGCACTAGATGGGGGAGGGGAAAGCCTTGTTCACAGATGCCTGCCTGGGGACCCGTAGGGTCCTCTCAGTTGCTCTTTCAGCGATGCCTACTGTGTGCCAGCATTGGAGCCCTGGACCTAGTTTTTGCATCTGTGGACGCTGGGTTTGTTGTTTTGTTTTTCTTTTCCTTTTTTTTTTCTTGGTTTTTCGAGACTGGGTTTCTCTATGTAATAGCCTTGACTGGAACTCGCTCTGTAGACCAGGCTGGCCTCAAACCCACAGCAATTCGCCTGCCTCTCCCTCCCGAGTGGTGGGATTAAAGGTGTGCACAACCACACTAAACTCTGGGTTTTAATGAAGAAAATGGTTCTCAAGAGGCTCTGAGTTCCTCAGGGAGGGCTGAGTGGGGGTGGCTTGCCTCCCTAGCCCACTGTGTATCCTTGAACTTGTGTGGTGTCTCTGAGCCCCCTCTTATCACCAGTGAACAATATATTAGGCCAGCAGAATACAAGCAGGTGCGTGGGATTTTGTTTTTAAACCTCGGAATCTGTGACAAGCATCATGGAGCAAGTGTCCAGAGAACTGGATCTGAACGGCCAGGTGAGCCCTTTATGGGAGACAAGGCTATCACCCAAGGACCCCAGGAATATGAGTTATAGGACAGCAAGCGCAAAGGCCCTAAGGCCAGAGCTAAGAGGAGGCACCGAAGGAAGAGGCTGGATGACAGTAGGGCAGGACATTTAGGACCCAAAAGGGGCTGTCTGTCATCAAGAAGGGCCTTTCCCAGTTTCCCAGTAGGGGGCTCTGAACAAGGAAGGCAGAAGCCCCTGTAACCCCCACTTCCTCTCCAGGGAAGATGAAGGCAGCCACAATCTAGCCAGCATCTCCCTGTCAGAGGCAGTGACAGCCTCAAATCTGTTCCTCCCTCGTGCAGGTTCAGCAATCAAGGGACAGAAGCTCACCTGTGACTCTGGAGGTCACCTGGGCTGAGAGGTCCTCTATGCACAGTGTGGCCTGGGATGGTTGCCTAGCTGCTCAGGTACATGCTGGCTCCCTGGTGAGCTCTTGCCAAGGGTCCTCATTCTGGGCCTCCAAGCAGGCCCCTGGCTCCTGTTCTTGTCAGCTCCAGGGAACCAGGGGCCTGGGCCCTCTGCAGGCCTGTGGAGCCCTGACTCAGACCCCAGTCATGTTCAGTGAGGCACAGAGAGCCAGGCTCAGGGCAGATCATTTACAGGGGGCCTTGGCAGCTATGGCAGTGCAGTTCTGGGTTCGAGTGCTGGCTATGCCACAGGATCTAGGCCACTCATTCTTCTGGCTGAGCCTTGCTTCATCTGAAATGGGTGCAATAGTCATGTCCTTCCAGAAAGTAGATCAGACACTAGATTGGCAATAGACAGTACTGGTAGTACTGGAGGTCTGCTAGTCATGGGGTAGTAGGCAGGGGAGGGCCCACCGTCCCAGAAACGGCAAGGCTCAGTGTCTCCCAACCAACTAGGGCTTCCAGTGGGGCTAAGTGAAGCTCTTCAGAGTGTGAGACAAAAGCCAGACTGTACTGAAATTGTGACGGCTGGCTGAGAATGTACCCCTCAGCCCTTCTGTACCTCGCCAGGCTTCTGAGACCTGGGGTCACTGGCACCTGGTCTCTGTGTGGGTGGCAGTCACCCCTGTGGGTACTGTGGACATTCTCTCCTATGTGATAACCCCCATGTCATGAGCTATTCCAGAAGCATCAGCTGCCCCAGTGGGACAAGGTCTATGCAGAGGCCACCCTAGAGCACATCCTGTCGGCCCCCTGTGCCAAGCACAGCTTCCAGGGGACAGTGGAAACTGACTACACACACAAGTTATGCCACACCCTCCACCTGGGGCTTTGCAACTTGCCTAGGGTGAGTCTGCGGAGAAGGATGGGGTGCAGGGGAGCCAGGGGCCCTGAGGCTGGGGAGCACCTGGGACAGGCAGGGTGTGACCAAACCAGGCAGAGCTGTCACTGGCTCTTCCCACACCAGCTGCGTGGCACCTGTCTTCTCTGTCTAGTTTATGTGAGAGAAGGAAGATGTGTATAGGGAGATTGTGACTTTCAGGAGGCTGTGAAAACAACAGCTGTTACCACCACTATTGCTGAGGCACACACTGGGACCCGTTCCTGACACTACCCTGCGCCCCCACCATTCTCAGGTCCTCCTATCCATCCATCTCTTACTCTTTCCTGTCCTTCACCTACCCATCCACACGCATGCTTACCTGCCTTCCCACCCCACCCTCCTGCTATCTACCCACCACCCACCCACCCATTTACGGATCCACCTGCCAACCCACCACATCTGTCTATCCATCTGCCCACCCACAACACATCTGCCTATCCATCTGCTCACCACACATCTGTCTATCCATCTGCTCACCATCCCCCATCTGTCTATCCATCTGCTCACCACACATCTGTCTATGCATCTACTCAGCACCCATCTGTCTATCCATCTACTCACCACATCTGTCTATCCATCTGCTCACCACATATCTCTCTATCCATCTGCTCACCACCACACATCTGTCTATCCATCTACTCACCACCACACATCTGTGTATCCATCTGCTCACCACATCTGTCTATCCATCTGCTCACCACATCTGTCTACCACACATCTATCTATCTGCTCACCACCACACATCTGTGTATCCATCTGCTCACCACATCTGTCTATCCATCTGCTCACCACATATCTGTCTATCCATCTGCTCACCACAACACATCTGTCTATCCATCTGCTCACCACACATCTGTCTATCCATCTGCTCACCACACATCTGTCTATCCATCTGCTCACCACATCTGTCTATCCATCTGCTCACCACACATCTGTCTATCCATCTGCTCACCACACATCTGTCTATCCATCTGCTCACCACATCTGTCTATCCATCTGCTCACCACACATCTGTCTATCCATCTGCTCACCACATATCTGTCTATCCATCTGCTCACAACACATCTGTCTATCCATCTGCTCACCACATCTGTCTATCCATCTGCTCACCACACATCTGTCTATCTATCTGCTCACCACCAAACATCTGTCTATCCATCTGCCCACCCACCACACATCTGTCTATCCATCTGCTCACCACAACACATCTGTCTATCCATCTGCTCACCACAACACATCTGTCTATCCATCTGCTCACCACAAATCTGTCTATCCATCTAATCACCATACATCTGTCTATCCATCTGCTCACCACCACACATCTGTCTATCCATCTGCTCACCACCACACATCTGTCTATCCATCTGCTCACCACACATCTGTCTATGCATCTACTCACCACACATCTGTCTATCCATCTACTCACTACACATCTGTCTATCCATCTACTCACCACACATCTGTCTATGCATCTACTCAGCACCCATCTGTCTATCCATCTGCTCACCACATCTGTCTATCCATCTACTCACCACATCTGTCTATCCATCTGCTCACCATATCTCTCTCTATCCATCTGCTCACCACCACACATCTGTCTATCCATCTACTCACCACCACACATCTGTGTATCCATCTGCTCACCACATCTGTCTATCCATCTGCTCACCACACATCTGTCTATCCATCTGCTCACCACACATCTGTCTATTCTTTTGCTCACCACATCTGTCTATCCATCTACTCACCACCACACATCTGTCTATCCATCTGCTCACCACCCTCCCCACCTCTTCACCCCCTACCTCCCAGGGGTCATAAACTCTTCTGCAAAAGGGCAGTCAGGGTGCTTAAGGTTTAACAAACCATCAAGTCTCTCATTATCCTGTTCACTCCGCTGTGCCATGAAAGCCTTTTCTGCTGAGTGAGAGGCAAGGCATTGCCACTGTCCTGGATAGCTGTCCAGAGTGGACAGGTCAAACTTGTGTGCTTAGGGCCTGGCAGACGGTGGGAAGAATAGGAGCAGGGCTTAAAAGTGGCCTCGGGGAATGTACAGGTCCTGCAGTGGTCACACATGGGCACCCATGGAGGCATGCTTCACCCACACAGGCACCTGTGCAGGCATGCTGCACCCACACAGGCACCCGTGCAGGCATGCTTCACTCACACACATGAACCAATGCAGCAGGCATGCTGCACCCACACAGGCACCCGTGAAGGCATGCTTCACTCACACACATGAACCAATGCAGCAGGCATGCTGCACCCACACAGGCACCCGTGCAGGCATGCTGCACCCACACAGTCACCTGTGCAGGCATGCTTCACTCACACAGGCACCTGTGCAGGCATGCTGCACCCACACAGGCACCTGTGCAGGCATGCTGCACCCACACAGGCACCCGTGCAGGCATGCTGCACTCACACAGGCACCTGTGCAGGCATGCTGCACCCACACAGGCACCCGTGCAGGCATGCTGCACCCACACAGGCACCCGTGCAGGCATGCTGCACTCATACAGGCACCCGTGCAGGCATGCTGCACTCACACAGGCACCCGTGCAGGCATGCTTCACTCACACACATGAACCAATGCAGCAGGCATGCTGCACCCACACAGGCACCCGTGAAGGCATGCTTCACTCACACACATGAACCAATGCAGCAGGCATGCTGCACCCACACAGGCACCCGTGCAGGCATGCTGCACCCACACAGTCACCTGTGCAGGCATGCTTCACTCACACAGGCACCTGTGCAGGCATGCTGCACCCACACAGGCACCTGTGCAGGCATGCTGCACCCACACAGGCACCCGTGCAGGCATGCTGCACTCACACAGGCACCTGTGCAGGCATGCTGCACCCACACAGGCACCCGTGCAGGCATGCTGCACCCACACAGGCACCCGTGCAGGCATGCTGCACTCATACAGGCACCCGTGCAGGCATGCTGCACTCACACAGGCACCGTGCAGGCATGCTGCACTCACACATATGAACCCATGCAGCAGGTATGCTTCACTCACACACAGGCACCTGTGCAGGCATGCTTCAGTGTCTAAGGGGCCTTGTTGGAGAAGATTGTGGGTGGGTCAGTAAGATCTGCCACCTCCACAGCCTGCTTACAGCAATCCAGGTGTAAGGGCTCATACCAGGGTCCAGGGGGATGAGCCTGTGTCTTCTGATTTCTGGAACTTCTGCTGTCTTCCTTCAGGCCCTCTCATTCTCTGGGGAGCACAGTCTGGACCAGCGTGCACTCCTACTGCGTTCTCAATGCCAGCTGGGTCTTGCTCCAGACCCTGACCAGGGCCTGCACTTTAGCCTCGCTCTCTACAACCACAGCCGACCTGATGCACCGGACTTCTGTGGGCAGCTGGAGGTAGATGTCTAATCTCCCTCTCAGTTTTCTATGCTAGCAGCCCCACTGCATGGGCTGCCCTGCCATCTAGTGGCCATCAGTGGACCTTCAGGCCTACACCCTGCTGGTCCAGTACTTCCTTTCTGGGGAGTATGTGCTGAACACCTGGGTCTGTCCAGGAACAGAGTGGTTCCTCCATTACTCCACGGCTCTTGCCTGGTCCACAGAGAACTTCCAAGACAGCCAGGGCTACACAGAGAAACCCTGTCTGGGGGTGCAGGTATGCCCAGACACTAGGGCTTTAGTCAATTCCAGATGTAGTCAAGTTGACAACCAAGAATGGCCACCACAGATGACATTTCTAGATAAGGCCATACACAGAGGTCATGAGTTCTGGGCCTGCCACTTCCTAACTTACAACTAAGCCTGCTCTGCCCCAGCTACAAAGTGGTGCTTGATGCCACTCCTGGAATCAGAGGCCAAGCACTTGTCAGACACCCAAGATGCTTGGTCCCCACCCTTCATCTCCCCTTACTCCACTCTGGGGTCTGTGAGATGCACAGCCTCGGCCCGGCCCCCAGTGTGTACCTCCCCCAGAACCGCAGCATTTTGCATTCATGGTCTATTTAACCTCATTTTCCCTTGACTACCTCTGCAAAGACACCAGACTGATGAATGTGGCCCAACCCCTAAGACTCAAGGGCTCCTCTGACTTCGGCTGAGCTTTGAGAACCGCTGGTCCTTTACAGCTAGAAGCTGGGGCTCAGAGAAGGTGGTTGCACAGCTTTCAGTTGCAGGATCTAGTCTGGGCAGCAAGGCTGGGGCAGAAGTGCCTCTCTTCTCCAAGGTTCTTTACCAGTCTCTTAGTCATTTTCAATGGCCCCTTTCCCTGGGACCTTGAAGCCTTTGATGTTGCTCCAGTTCAGTTGACAAACTTCGTCCTGTGGCTCCTCCCTCGAAGATGGGTGCCTACATGGATTTGGGCGAACACAGTGACCCGGGCTCCATGCCACATATTACTCACATGTGCCCTTGGACTGCCAAAGGGGAAGTGCCTGGAATCCCCAGACCAACAGCATCGGTCTTCAGAGTGTGAAGGCTGTGGTTCCAAGCCTCCTTGACTGGGTTGGTGGGGAGACACCCACAAGGCAGGCTTTGCTATACGTGGTAGGATTCTGAGCCGTGCAGCAGGCGTGGAGGGCAGGGAACCCAGTGCTCCTGGAAGAACGGTGTGGGCGTTTTTCTATCCCTTCTCTACTGATTCACTCTCAGCTCTTTTCTGAGCCTGGGACGGGCAGAGGCCAGAGACCAGAGCAGCCGCAGCAGCCAGGCCCATCCAAGTCTCTGTTGTCTGGTTCGTAGCTCCGAGGCCCCAGGGCTCAGCAGCTCCTCCTGTTGGGCCATATTGCTGCCTCAGCTTCCCAAAGCATGGTCCAGCTGGAGGGCAGCATGGATGAAGACAAGAAACTAAGGCTGTTGGTGTCCTGGGCCCTGAGCTGTCTTCAGGCTTCTGCTGCCCATGTGGAAGGTAAGTGAAGGGTAACAGGCCCCCAAGTCAGCTGATAAGCCAGGACCCACCTTTGTCCAAGCAGGGACAGGGGACCCCTATTCCTGTCCTGTTGAGAACTTAGAAACACACACACACACACACACACACACACCAAGCAAACAAACAAACAAACCAAAAACCAGATTTGGGGTGCACTTGTCCACATCTGTACTGACTTTGCTGAGTCAGGTGAGGCTGTGGGGGTGGGTGAGGCTGGGGTGGACCTGGCTGGTCTATCCAGAAGTGAGTGTGAAGTGAGGACTTTAAGTATACCAGGAGAGGGGGAGAGGGAACCACTTTGGTGGTACAGCTCAAGGCTCTTAAACACTCATATCTTGAGGCCTTGTGTAGGGCACTGGGGGCGGGGGGGGGGGGTAGAGAAGGCAAGGATGCAGCCTCAGTTCCTTCCTGGCTCCAGGGAACAGAGAGGAACATGTGATGCTACAGGCATGCACCCACAGGAGAGCTGTGGAGGTGGAGGCCCTGCTCCAGAAGAGTGGGCAGCGTGCCCAGCCGCTGGGGCACCTGACCCTGCAGCCAGCCAACCAGAGCCTCCTCCTAGTTGCGCATGGCTGTCAGGGGGCCCTGCTGAGTTACATGGAGGTAAGTGGGTCTGGGATTGAGGACTGCTGGCCTGGAGAATCAGAGTGGACAGTTGAGGGCAGCCTGCACTCTCTCCAGTCCCTAGAGGCCCCCTTCTCTGGTTCTCACCTGTCCCTCTGGCCCACAGTCCAGGATGACAGCAATGGGCTCCCAGGTGCGAGCCCAGCTGGAAGAGAAGATTCAAAGCCTGGATGACTATGTGAGCGGATTCTGGAACCTGGTGGGTAGTCCCTGTTAAGGGAGCAGGGAACCCTGGGACCTGGCCTGTGCCCGCAGCCCTCCTTTCCAGCCGTGAAAGGCTGGAGAGTGTTTTCTCCATCGTCTCCCCCCTGATCCTGCCTTGGTTTCCCTGCCTAGGTACAGCCGGTGGGTGCTCTGGACAGAGCAGCAGAGTGCCTGGTGCAGCTGACCCAGGTGGGGCTAGGCGCTGTTCAGGCAGGTGGCCAGGCGGTAGCCACCTTGTGGGCCCAAGGTCAGGCCAGGCAAGTGCTGACTGGTCACCTGCCTCTCTACCTGGAGCGGCTGCAGGCGGAGATGGACCCTGTCCTAGTCTAGCCCCACCCTCGACCCAGGGGCCCTAGGTCTTCAGACTTATTCTCATACCACTACCTCAGTCAGGAAAGCAGTCTAATTTCTTTAGACCCCCAAACCTTATTTCATAGGCTCCTGCAACCTCTGTACCCTTTTGGCATGCTGTCTCCATCCAAGTAGACTTCAAAGTAATGCCTGGCTTCTCTCATGCACACAGCCTTGCTCTGGAGGCTTCCGGGGCCACCACTGGGTGTCTGTCTATGGGCTCCAGTGAGGCTTCCGTCCTGGTTAGCACATAGCTGTGCCCTGAGGACGCTGCTCCCAAGCAAGCAGAGAACCTGGCCTCCCCACAATTAAGGACCATTCCTGATCCTCCTGATCAGTCCAGGACTGAAACAAGCAGTGGGGACATGTCTGTTCCTAGCTCAGTCAACTATGCCAAAGTCCCTGTGTTGGTGCCTGGCCAGGAGCACACAGGTATTCTCATGACTGTGACTCACGGCAGCCCAAGGGTGCAGAGCAGAGTTGTCAATGGGGAGACCCTACATGCAGCACCCAGAGCTTCACTGTGTCACGCTGGATGCCATTGACTCCCCCGGAATGAACTGTGATGCCCATGCCTTAATTCTACCCCATCCGTCACTGCAGGGCGCAGGCCTCCTGTCCTCTAGGCCTGGGATGTTAGCCATGACTGGCTTTCCTGGTTTCCCTGTTCTCATCTGCAGTCAGGAGCTCTGGGGCCTTAGGCGATTACCTGTTGCAGAGCCCCTGGCCACACTGAAGGAGGCCTACTTGGAGGTGATGCTGCGGCCCCTGGATGAGGTGTGGCGAGAGCGGGCTGAGGAGACCAGGCAGCAGCTGCAGGCCTGGCTGCTCCGGTTGCCAGGAAGTTGGAGGCTAAGGCCCATCCAGGTGGCCCTGGGAGCCATGATGGGTGCCCTGGAGCTGGTGAGGGTGTGCGTGATAGGGCAGGGTGGGGTTGGGCTCACCGAGGGTCGCTCTGACAGCTGTCCCTGCCCCCACCCAGGCCACCCACCATGCACTGTCCTGGGCTGAGGCTGAGGTCTCCTGGGCCCTGAGGCGGCTCTACAAACCCTTACGGAGCATGTACAGTTACTCAGCCAGGTAAGTCCCGTGTTCATGCTGCATGGTGGGACATAGCAAACCTGGTCCGTCTCACTTAGGACAGCACTGCCACACAGGCAGTCCTCATTTGACAGGGGAAACTGAGGCTCGGGCTCTGCACAAGCTCTGTTCACACTCTAGTTGGTTTTGCAAAAGCCTTAGCAAAGGCATTCTTGGCTAGCAGCCTGGATATCGTCTGAGGGGCAGGGTTCCTGTCCCTGACCTCTGTGTTAGGTAGCGTGTACTGCTGAAAGCGCCAGCCAGCAAGTGGATTGAAGAGGAGGTCTGGCTGGGAATGGGATTTCTTGTGTGTGTGGTATACATTTCTGTGGACCCACATATGTGTGCACATGTATGTGGTGGCTTGAAGTTGGAAGAGTATAATCGTTATGGTTTTCACACCTTATTTACTGAGGCAGGTTCTCTCAGTCAAACCCAGAGCTCACTGATAAGACTAGTCTTGCTAGCTAGCTTGCTCTGGGGATCGCCTGTCTCTGCCTTCTGGGAATGGTACTACAACTTGCTGTCATGCTCCTCTGCATTCCTGTGAGGTTCTGACCTTCCGTCCTTATGCTTGTGTGGCAAGTGCCCTAACCTCCGAGCCGCTGCCCCAGCTCAGGAGATGAGCCTTGAGCAGGGAGTTCTGGGTAGGGCACCCAAATGGTGCAGAGGCAGGGGTAAGGCTTGTAGCACCATGGCGCCTGTCTGAGGAACAGTAAGGAAGCCAGCAGGCCTTGAGCAGCTTCAGGTGGCCGAGGGCCTTGGCTTCTGCTTGGAGATGGGCACACACAGCATATGAGGGTTTTGGTCCAAGGAAAGGTAAATCATATTGAGATTATAAAGATGGACCGAGTGTAGGGCCCTATTTTTCAACAATGTGGCTGGGTATGTGATGGCTGGAACAATGGCAGCATGGAAGGGATGAGAGGCAGCCTGAACCCAGCTGTGTTTTTAACATCAGCCTGAAGAGGACTGAGACTCAACTGTGTAGGTGGTAAAAGGAGTGAGGGATGATTCCTATAAAGGGATGGAGGTCCCTTTCTAGACAAGAGACAAGACTGCAGGGGCTTCTGCACCGGTATAACCAATGCTACGTAACCAGAGCTGTGGTGGCTTGAACCACAGCAATCATTCTCATACAGTTGTGAAGGGCTGGGGCAGGGTGCAGGCACCTTAGGATTAGCCATGGAGAAGTGGTAATACAGGCCTCACAGGTAGGAGCCTCCAAGAATGCCTGCAGTTCCAGTCTACCCCAGCAGGTGGCAGGATGGTGCCTCCTGAGTTATGGAATGCTTGGGCCTACTCTGCCTCAATTTTCCCACCTGTAAACTTGGGACATTACTCCTAGGAAAATGAATGGAAAAACAGCTGCAAACCTAGCAGGGTTTGACAGGAATAATGCCCCAGCAGACGGGGTCTCTTGTGACAGTAGAGACCTGTTCCTGTGACTCTGTGGTGGCCACACCCAGTGCCCAGTCCCCCTCCTACGGTATAGCCCAGCATTAGCGGCTTCTTTGCTCCTTTAAACTCCAGGTTTGCTGGGCTTCTGTTCCACAGCCTGGGAAAGTTCTAGAATCTTTCCCTTACCTGTAGAAATCTCAGAGACCACTTCCCCCTCCCCCAGCTTCCCTTTGGCTGGGATCCTGTTCAGGTCCATTCAGCATCAACTTACTGTGCCTGTGACCAAACACCCTGACTGGACTTCCCCCTTCCTTAGTATCTATGCCCATCCCATCACCCCACTGCTCCCCCCTTCGAGCAGGGCACAAAATCAAACAGCTGTGCCCTTACTGCAGCTGGTCCATCTTTTGAAGACACTTCCCCAGACAGAGGTGGGCCCTCTCTAAGGTGACAGCCTGCTAATGTGACCCCCTTTCCTTCCTGTGACAATACCATCTCTCGGGGAGAGGAGGTGAGGCTCGGTGAGACATCTCAACTTCCTAGGGGATCCAGTTCCTCTGTCCTTTCCAGGAACCGCTCTGTGGTGGTAAGGCTACCACTCCTGCAGGTGGGAGACGGGCCCCTGGATGTGGCCCAGGGGGTCAGTTACCTGGTGGAGGAGAAACTCCTGCAGCCACTCCGCAGGCTGTGTGAGGCTAACGTGCTGGCTGAGTTCTACGGGCTCCGGCGGCGTCTACTGAGGAGCCCCTTCAAGCGTAAGTCCTGCCTGGCCTGTCCACCTCCTCCCTGGGAAGCCTTCTGCCTGTGGAACAAAGGGCCTAGCAAGCTCTGTCAAGCCCTGTGGTGTCACAGGCCAGCCCCACAAGTTCCTAGGCTTGGTGAGGTCATCTGGGGCTACAGACCCTGGATTTTGTCCAGAATATAACAGGGAGTACACAGCTGAGGGCTCCTTCTGAGGCCAGCCTTCTCCCAGAGGGCCTTGATGGAGGAATAGGGCTGAGCCCCAGTTGTAGCTAGAAGGCTGTTAATTGAATGCAGGCTTGCTGGGGAGGCAGTGTCTGTAGCCTGGGGCCCCAAGATGCCTTTGGGAGGCCCTGGGAAGCCTGAATCTGTACAACGTGTTCAGCCTCAGTTTCCTCTCGTGTGGAGTAGGAGGGGATACCATAGCTGACTTGAGTGGGCTATAAGCGCAACATCCGAGCCCGAACCCTTCTACAGTGCAGTGCCAGGCTGAGGAGGGGAGGTTTACTATGTGATAGACCTTGAGCTCAGGGTCTTAGGAGAGTCCCCAGACTTGGGAGCACACTTGTTCCTGGGCAGCAGGTTTACTCAGTGTTGAGTCGGCCTGACCTCTTCTCAGATTACAATGCTGTGGTGGCGGGCACCAGATACCTGGTGACCTTTGATGGGCAGGTGTGGGGCCTGGGTCCCTGCTGCGGCAGCTTCCTGCTAGCCAAGGACTTCACTCATCAAACGTTCTCTCTGATGCTGAGCCGCACAAGCTCAGGCTTCATGGCCCTTCATGTAGAGCTGAACCACACAACCCTCATCCTGTATCCTAGCCTAAAGGTAGGTGCTCGGGAGTGGGAGGGGCTCCCTGGAGCTGCTTGTCTGCTTGTTGCCTGCAGGTTTGGTGCTGGTAGTGTGATTCCCGGCTTACCCCTGTGTGATCCACAGGCTTACACGCAGTATGACAGCTGCTGGAATTTAGACCCTCCTCCTGCTGTGCTGAGCACTGGGCCCAAGGTTGTGCTGAGCAGCGAGGATGGTGTGTCTGTCTCCTGTGATGTGCCAGCAGGCCTCTGCAGCCTGACACTGGGCCTGTGGCACCACGGTGGGTCGGGTCTCGGTGCTACCCACGAGGGCATTTTCTAGCTGCCCTGTGGCCAGACTCCAGGGTTGTGCCCCTTTCTCAGTAACACTGCTGCTGTCATCCCTGGAAGAGAAGAGCATAGACCAATGGGCAAGAGCTGGAGATAATCCTGAAGGTTGCCTTTGCTGACAGGCCGCTTTCCTGCTGGGGTGGCAGTGACTGCTGGCCTCCTTTCTAGTGTGACACAGCTGTCTACTTCTCAGTCCTGGTGGTTTCTGTTACATTACAGATGACCCGGCAGAGGCTGAGTGACTCACTCCCTCTCCCAGGGCCAGCATCTGGCCCACGGCTTCTGAGCCAACTTGGCTCTCTTCCCTGGGGACAGTCAATACAGAGTGGAGTTGGCTCTTATGAGGTTCCCATCATGTAGCTGGGCCCCCGAGAGGTGCCTGGAAAACTTGCTAACTGGGCCTGTGGTCCAGGAAGCGGGGGAATCACTGCAAGGCACAGATACCATCTTTAGATCCCCTTTCCCCTCTCCCCACTTCTGAGAGGTCTGGTGTCCTGGGGAGGGGAGAGGGAGGCTTTCCTAGCAGGTCCCTCCTGCCCTGCAGGTGTATCTGCTGGCCTTCTGGGTACCAATAACAATGAGGCAGATGACGAGCTAAAGCTGCCCGATGGCACGGAGGCTGCCAGCCTGGAGGAGCTCACTCGGGCCTGGCAGGTAAGCTGTGGGAAAACCCTTCCTGCCGCGTCTACCCCCAGGCTCCGTGGAGGACAGCTGCTCAGGTTCAGAATGAAGCAGGAGCCCCGAGGATACGGGCATCTCTTGCTGAGGCTGATGTGCACTAGGCAGTGTGCCCAAGAGACAAGTGGTTCTCTCGGAGGCTTGAGTCTTGTGTGTTCCCATCCAGGTGGGAGAGAATTGTGGTGCTGTGGAGAGGATGCAGCAGCCATGCTCAGGACACAGCACCGCCTGCCAGGCCTTCTTCCAAGAACCCAGCTCCAGTCTGGGGAACTGCTTCCAGGTGGTGAGTGTGAGGCTGCGCCTGGCCAGAGCCACTCAGCAGAGAAACCACAGAATGAAAGAAGCCTAATCTAGCCTATGCGGTGATGGGCCTGCACAGTGATGGGCGGGCATTGGTTTCAGGTGGACCCTGCTCCATTCCTCAGACTGTGTGTCCAGGGTACCTGTGACCCCAAGGAGCTGCAATCTGACTGCCACCTAGCAGCTGCCTACATCTACCTGTGTGCCCAGGACTCTATGCCCTTGGCCCTTCCTCTGCAGTGTGGTAAGTTCTCATCCAGGCCCCATCCCAAATGGAAAACCAATGCCATTCTCTGAGCTCCCACAGGGATGACACAGTGAGCACAGAGTCCTAGCACTAGCCTGCTTGGCAGGGACAGGAGGAATGCTAGTTTGAGATCAGCCTGGGCTACATAGCAAGACTGTCTTAAGAAAACCAAACAGGGCTGGAGGGACGGCTCAGTGGTTAAGATCACTGGCTGCTCTTGCACAGGACCTAGGTTTGACTCTGATACCCACATAATGGCTCACAACTGTCTATAAGTTCAGTCCCCGGGCAACTGATGCCCTGACCTTCACAGGCACCAGGTACACACATGGTGTGTACAGACAGACATGAAGGGAACATTCGTATATGTAAAATAAAAACTAGTACAGCTTCTTAAAAAGAAAAGAAAGCAAAGACAGTTGGGGAGATAGCCTGGCTGGTAAAATGCTTGCCCTACAAGTATGGGTTGGATCCCCAGAACCAGGAGATTAAGGTGGGTGTGAGGGGTGCTTGTCACAATAGCACCGGGGAGGCAGAGACAGGGGGCTAGCTCTGGGCCACTGAGATCCTGCCTGATGGGTGGGGGAAAGTGAATATTGCTCGAGGGTTAAAGGGCTAACACCTGAGATTAACTTCTGACCCCCCCCACATGAGAACACAAAAAGAAAACCAGAGATGCAGATTGCCACCAAGCCAAGTGTCTCGAGCACCTTCAGGACTCTCAGAACCTGTGCTAGTAGCTCTGAGGTGACAAACTATGCCTGTGACCCTGACTCAGAGTGGCAGCTGACAGCATATTTGCTTCTTCTTTTTTTTATTTTTTTGGTTTTTCGAGACAGGGTTTATCTGTGTTGTTTTGGAGCCTGTCCTGGCACCCGCTCTGTAGACCAGGCTGGTCTCGAACTCACAGAGATCCTCCTACCTCTGCCTCCCGAGGGCTGGGATTAATGGCGTGTGCCACCAACGCCTGGCACATTTGCTTCTTGATCCAACCAAGAAGTCACAGCTGCAGTTAACAACAGTGGGACATGCCTGAGACCCCCATATCCTGAACTCCTGGGAGTCTTTTGTTTTGTTGAGATAGCGTTTCTCTGAGTAAGCTTAGCTGTTCCTACCTGTCTTAGAACTCACTGTACAGGCCAGGTTGGCCTCGAACTCAGAGATCCACCTGCCTCTGCCTCCCTAGTGCTAGAATTAAAGGTGTGCACCACCACTGCCAGGGAGTCTGGGATTCTTAGAGGCATGAAAGAAGACATCAAAGACGAACAGCATGTCAAAAGGAATTTTGGGTGTGTGAAGTGCAAGATAAATTGTAAAAGAGAAGAGAAAGTTAGTGAAATGGAAAATGTGACATGGGGTGTCATGTCACATGTGACATGCCCCCGCACACACACACACACACACACACACACACACACACACACACACACACACACACACACACACACACCTTGTGCAGACTTCAAGGTAGCTGCCAGGTCCAGCTTCCCCTGGGAATGGAAGGGAATGAGCAGAGTTTTGTTTTTTGATTTTTTGCGTTTTTTTTGCGCTGTTTCCACTCATCTGGGACTGCTGTGCATCTGCGCTCTGAACACTGGTGTAGTTCGGAGATTTGGCTGGAGGAGTGGTGGGAACTGCTGCTGCAGAGCTGTGGGTAGCGAGGGTAGCCGACCACAGTGCCACCAGCTTCTCACAGCTGAGAACACGTAGTAGAGTTAGAGGAAAGGTCCAAGCTGAGCCACAGAAGTCCTTCCTTATGCTTCGGATGCACGCAGAGACTCTGCAAACACCCTGTGCTCCTGAAAGGAGCGTGTGCTCAAAGGAACATGACACTGTCCCACGGTGTGGGGGAACCACAGCCCATGCCTGCTGTGCCTACAAAGTGGGGAGATGGTAATGGGTAGGAGGCTGTGCTTTTAATCAGGGCCAGGGGCTGCCTGAGAGACCCCTGACCCACTTCCAGGAAATGGTGGGACCTTCCTTCTAGGCTTCACAGCACAACCTTACTTCTCTTTTCTTATAGTTTGAGATTTTTGCCCAAGTCAACACAAGGCGGCCTTCTACCCCAATTTCCTGGGCGAGGTCAAGGTTTTTGGCTGGAAGGGGACCACCAGTGCAGAATGCCAGCAACCCAAGACAAAAGCAACACTTGCTGCCTAGAGCAGAAAGGAAGAGCTGAGGACCAGCCCCACTCTAGTGTCCCTGGGGCTGAGGGACACCCAGCTGGCCCCAGGAATTCATTCTGCAACTCCACTGGACAGAGTCCAGGCCAAAGCACACACCCCTGGGAAGCAGCTCCACACCAGCACCAACACTCCCCCAGAAACTGATTCTGCAACCTGAGCCTTGGGATGGCAATGGCCTGGAGGACACAGGCTGCCTGGCACAGGCTTCCCCTGCCACCCTGGGGATCTCAGAAGGTATGCACTTCCTGGAGGGGACCTGTGGACTCGAGACTGGTTAGGGAGCTTCCTTCTCTAGGATGAACACACAAGATGCTTCCAGGGCATGGGGAGAAGGGTCCTTTACAAAGGACAAGTGGTATTAATAGATGGGGGTTTGGGCCACTAGACATCAGGGTTTTTTGTTTATTTCTCTTGGGGAATAGTCTTTTATTAAGTTTTCAACTGCAAAATAAAGCTGTCAGAATTCATGATTGTGTCTATGGGGTTGATGTCTGTGCCAACTAACCCCTGTGCAGCTTTGGTGGCTATGAGCCAGGAGGGGGCGCTTTTGAGCCCTTTCTACACTGAAGCTCATTTAGTTTATCTCCAGGGCTTTCTGCAGGCTAAGGCTAGCACTCTGCCACTGAGCCTTTGAATGGGCTGGAAAGGATCCAGATTCTAGAACAAAGGACAAAGTATGTCCCACCAGGAATGGGACAAAGAGAAGGCAGGAAGGCGGGTGCCAAGCTCAGCCAACCCTGGTGCACAGCAGGTGTCCAGAAAGGTGTCTCCAAAAGATCTCTGGAGCCAAGGGAGGTGAAGCCAGTCTTTCTCAGCCCCTACTGCTGAGACCCTTAATACAGTTCCCATTGTGGTGACTCCAACCGTAAAGTTATTTCATTGCTACTTCGTAACTGTGATTTTGCTGTTATTAGTCATAATGAAAATATCTGATATGCGACCCTGCGAAACAGTTAGCCCCCCACAAAGGGTTGCAACCCACAGGTTGAGAAACACTGCTGTAGGAGGCATGGGCTGCTCTCACTGACAGAGTGCCTGCATCTTATCCCAAGTTCCACCCCAAAGACCTCCATGACCTCGAACTGCTCAGGATGGTTTGAAAGACGTTTGACCTTTACAATAGCCCAGTGATTCCTCCTCGTATGTTCCTCCCAGTTCCCTTACTGAAGGAGGCCTGCCTGGAGCCCAGATGTCACTGAACTGGGCCTGTCTGCCTCCCAGGCCCACCCACCCCACTTTACATCATGACTCAGCAGGTAAAGGCACTCCCTACCAAACCTGACAGCCAGGGTTCAATCCCCAGGACTATGCAGGAGAACCGACTTCCTTCCAGCTGTCCTCTGACTTCCTCACATGCACCCTTCTGTGTGCCCCCAATTGCAGCACCCCTCCCTGTAAAGCTTTCGCCATGTCCCAAGCTGCAATGTGCAGTGCTTACTCAAAATGCTCTAAGTTACAGGCTGATGGCATGTTCAGTCAGAAGGTACACCCAGGACTAAAGAGATAGCTTGGCAGTGCCTTTTTCTCAAACGTGAGGACCTGAGTTCAAATCCCAAGCACCCGTGTAAAGCTGAGCGGGGCTGCATGCTTGCTCTCCCCAATGGGGAACAGACACAGAAGGCCTGCTGCAGCTTGCGGGCAGCTAGCCCAGCTCTAGGTTCAGTGAGACACTCTGTCTCAAGAGAATAGGGCAGAGTGATGGAGTAGGTCATCTTATGGCCTCCTCCATCTTCCACACATGCATGGATGCACACAAGTGTATATAACATGTACAAACAGAGATGTGTCCTCAGAGGCTGGGGAGATGGCCATTGGTAAAGCACATGCCATGGAAGCATAAGGTTCTGAGTGCTGTGGTAGCATGTGCCTGTGATCTTAGTGCTGAGGAAATGGAGACATGAGGGTCCCTGGAGCTTTCTGGCTAATTAGTCTTGTCCAGTTGGTGAGCCCCAGGTTCAATGAGAGAGACCCTGTCTCAAAAATAAGATGTAAGTGACTGAGGAAGACACTTGATCAGCCTCTAGCCTTTCTGTACATTTATGTAGACCAGTGTGCACGATCACTCACATGCCCTGTATACACCAGTGGGGAAGTAGTCTCCTCGATCCGGCAGATTCAGTACCAATGTTTTGCAGACTGTAGTTTCGTGAGTCCATGTTCAGAATTTAACATAGTTGGGGCGGGGGTGATTCCATGAAAAAGACCAGCAGAGCCAGCTATGGTGGTTATATGGTTCCAGCTACAGGGTATCAGGGCTATCAGCAGGCTTGGAGTTCATCAAGGGTGGACCTCTGCCTCACAGTTAGCAGCTTGTAAATCCAAGAATAGAAGCAGCAGGACTGTGCTTCCTGGTCAAAAGAACAGGGTGTCAAACACCTGCGTAGAGAAGATGAGGCTAAATGGCCCAAAAGACCCCAGGATGATGCTCCAGCTGGAGGCTTCTTGGCGAAGGAAAGACATATACTGCTGCCCCTGCCTTCAGAGCCCATCTAAGCTGAGCATGGTGGTACTGGCCTCAGTCACAGCACTGTAGAGGAGCTCTGTGAGTTCAAGGTCTGCTTGGCCTACACAGAAAGTCCACATGGGGCTAGAGAGAGCGAGCAGCAGTTTGGTGTGCTTGTTGCCTTCCAGGGGGCCTGAGTTTTCCCAGCACCCATGATGAGCGACTCACAACCACTTTTAACTCCAGCTCCAAGGGATCCGATGCCTTCTTCTGGGCTCCTTGAGCACTTTCACACACATACACACAAAAACAAAATGTTTTTTATAGTCAGTCCATATGAGCCTGTCATTGAGGAAAACGTCCCCAGAAAACTCTTCCGGACTTTGGACCGTGCGGGGCTGGGGAGACTGCTCATGAGCAGGGGCAAGTACTGCAGAGCCTGACCACCTGGGTTCCACCCCCAGGACCACGAGGTGGAAGGAGGGGACAGTCCGTGGATAGCCAGACATGCACAGATAAAAAGAAATGTTTTAAAAGCAAGTTTAAAAGTAATGCTTGAACTCTTAAAGGATTATTTTTGTTTTAAATTTTGTATTTGAGACAGCGCCTTACTATATAACCTGGTTGGCCTGGAACTCACCATAGGCCAGCAGCACTTGAACTCACAGAGATTGACCTGCTCTGCTTCCCAAGTGCTAGGATAAAAAGCATGTGCCACCATGTCAAGACTACTTTTTTTTTTATTTAAATTTAGATTAGAAACAAGGTTGCTTCACAAGTCAGTTCCAGGTCCCTCTCCGGTTCCCTCCCCTCCTCCCTCTCTGTCTCCCTCTCCTTCTCCAGTCAAGACTCTTTTTTAAAGTTTTTAATTATGTGTGTGTGCGTGTGTGTGTGTGTGTGTGTGTGTGTGTGTGTGTGTGTGTGTATGAGAACAGTGCCCATGGATGCCAGAAGAAGGTGTCAGAACCCTGAAACTGCAGTTACAGGCAGTTATGAGCTACCCAGTGTGGGTGCTGGTAAACCAAACTCAAACCCTCTGTGGGAGCAGCAAATGCTCTTAAGAGCTCCACCATTCCTCCAGCCCCCTGAGCAGCAGTTCTCAGATTGTGCTCTGTGACCCCCCAGGGTTGAATGACCCTTCACAGGGGTAGCCTAAGACCACTGAAAAATACAGATATTTGCGTTATGATTCGTAAGAGTAGCAAAATTACAGTTACGAAGTAGCAATGAAAATAATTTTATGGTTGGAGTCACCACAGCATGAGGAACTGTACTGAAGGTTTGGGAGGCTGAGAACCACTGTTCTAGAGGGTCTTAGAACCAACCCTCCACTGATCTAACCGCCACTCTGGAATGGCATCCAAAGCATGAGGAAAGGGAGAGAAGACAGCTACAAGATTCCAAAGACAGAAAGATAATTTTCTCATTAAAAAGCTGAGAAAATTACAACCAGCCCAACTGGATTTTTTAAGTATGTTTTTTTAATTTAAATTAGAAACATGCATGCTTCAAATGTCAATCCCAGCTCCCCCCTTCTCCCTCCACCAGTCCCCCCCCTACCCCCAGACCAATCCCCACATCCTCCCCCAGGGAGGGTGAGGCCCTCCTTGGGGGGATCTCCAGAGTCTGTCATTTCATCCAGGGCAGGACCTAGGCCCTTCGCCATGTGTCCAGGCTGAGAGAGCATCCCTCCATGTGGAATGGGCTCCCAAAGGTCATTTGTATGCCATGGTGAACACTAGTCTACCACCCAAGGTCCCAGAGATTTCTGAGGCCTCCTCACTGACACTACATTCATGGAGTCTGGATCAGTCCACTGTTGGCCTCTCAGCCATCAGTCTGGGGTTCAGAGCTCCCCCTTGTCCAGTCAGCTGTCTTTGTGGGTTTCACCAGCACGGTCTTGACCCCTTTGCTCATCACTCCTCCATCTCTGTCACTGGGTTCCAGGGGGTCAGTTCAGTGTTTAGCTGTGAGTATCACATAAGGTAGTCCCAACCTTATCATCAGGTAGGGACTATTAATGTAGTCTTTCCGCTATTACATAGTTTTCCAGTTGGTGTTATCCTTGTAGATCTCTGGAGATCTCACTAGTCTCCTCAAGCCTATAATGACTCCAACTATTATGGTATCTCTTATCCTGGTCTCTTCTATTCTTACCCCAACTCAACCTTCCTGCTCCCCCGTGTCTTCTACCCTCCTCTTATCCCCCTCTCTTTTTCCTGGTTCCCTCTCTTCTCCAAGTTCCCAATCTGCTCAGGAGATCTTGCCTCTTTCCACTTCTCTGGGGTATAATGCATATCTCTTGGGAAACTCCCTGTTTCCCAGACTCATTGGCCCTGAGATTGTAGGCTGACACTCCCCTGATCCATGTCTAAAATCCATATATGAGTAAGTATATACCATGTTTGTCTTTTTGTGACTGGGTTACCCCACTCAGGATGGTTTCTTCTAATGCCATCCATTTGCCTGCAAATTTCAAGATTCTGTTGTTGTTTTTTTTTTTCCACTGTGTAGAACTCCATTGTGTAAATGTACCACATTTTCTCTATCCACTCTTCAGTTGAGGGGCATCTTTCTAGTTTTGGGGGTACATTAATTTGATGTATTACCTTGAACTCACTTGTCAAGTTCAAAATGTCTTAGCATAAAAGAAAAATTAAGCTTCAAGTCTGGCAGAAAACAAGACTGCATCAAAATCAGATTAAGAACAGTAGCCCTGGCTTGGAAAGATGGCTCTGTCCATAAAGAACTTGCTCTGCAAACAGGAGTTGTAGCCCCAGAGCCAATGAGGAGACAGACACTAATCCCAGCACTCAGGAACTGAGGCAGGAACAGGTCAAGGCCATCCTCTGATATATAGCGAACTTGAGGCCAGCCTGAGCTCGGAGGGAGAGGGGGGGGGAGGGAGGGAAAATATACACACACACATACTCACAGTCTTAAGGTTACTATTGCTATGATGAAACACCATGACCAAAGTAACTTGGGGAGGAAAGGGTTTATTTGCCTTATACTTCCATATTG